TGGGTTTATCGTATCGTTTGTCTCCTTAAACTGCGCTTGTGCGTGTGACTTTTTATAAATTCGGGCTATATGAGGCATGTCAAAAATTGTTACATCATCGATAACACGAGAGGAGAAGCGTAACAACCAAACAGAAGAGGAACCGGATGTAAAATCTCCACATTATCAAAGCTTATTCCTTTTTTATGATAACGCAAAAGAGACCAGCGCGGGTTTCTCTTCGTGGTAGGTGAAATACTCAGCTGTATCATTACATCTATATTTTGCCTTTGGATATTCGAATTATTCAATAGATATAGTTTAAAATGATAACATAGATGGTAAAAGATCTCGTCACAAACAAGGTACTCGTGTCTCTACAATCGTTGTACATCCACATACGAGAGTGGGCGAAATAAAACCATGGTGGATAAACGGGTCCGCGCTGTAGTACCCACGCTCGTTCAATTGGACGTTAAGTAGTGGAGCTTAGCCGGTCATTTCCGTCGTTGTTTCACACAGGAACTAAGGGAATATCTCGATGACAGTTTGGGAAGGGAAGACGGTAGTTACCATTTAAAACGAGTGATCAAGACTCGCATTGACGCTAAGTTTTTTGTAGCTCTATCATATATGTATGTTGCTGTATATATATGTTGCTAATTGTAAAGACTCTTGCGCCTCGAACATGAATGAAGATCCACTTGACAATTGAAAATATTTTTTCTACAAATTCCCAGTCACTCAATGAACTTTGCCGGTAACTCCTTTTCCCTCTCTGCTGCAAAACTTTGGAACTCTCTACCTGACTCCGACTAGCTCCTTGACTTCTTTCAAAAGTGTTATATATAAACATTTTCTGTCCTTATCATGTTAATAAATTGAAATTTCTTTTTCCTTTTTCTATTTTTTTTAAATTTGCTGGGTTTTTATTATTATTAATTTAAGGTTATTTTGTTTCGTTTAAGTAATTAGTAAGTTTCGCACTTCTTGCACACTGTATAGTTTTTAATTAATCGTTAAGTCTCTTTCTACTCGGGTTGCCTGGAAGAGATCGCTTATAGCGATAAGGCCGCCCGGTACACTATAGTTTTAAATTGCATAGTATCTGTAAGTTCTGTTGGGTGTATCTAAGTGTGAAATAAATAGATAAAGGTGCGCAAGATTTTCCTTCAAAATGAAAGTAGATATATTATGAATATAAAAATAAATACACCAAATAATATCAAAGTCGTTTCACTAATTTGTAGAATTTGGAAGCATTTATAGATAGAGATTGTAATAAAAGTATTTATTACCTTATCCAAAGCTCTGAAAAGTACGAGAGGAACTATCAAGGGACTCTTTTACACTAAAGTCATAACGAAGACTATAATAATAAATAAACAAAAAAGAACTTAAATATTTTCACATTACATAAATTAAAAAAAAAATTGACACGGGTTCGGCTTGAACTGGCATCCACAGCGTTCCGTACTGTTTCACTCACCTATAGGTTACAAAAAGGTCGACGATGACGTGTAGGACACGATAGCTCTATTGGTTGAGCACGGAACGCTGTGGACGCCGGTTTAACACCCGCTCGTGTCGTAAAAATCTAAAATCAATTTATGTAATTCATTTTTTAAGATTTAAAAAAGCTCTACATTTACCATAAGTTATTTAACTAACCCAGTATCACTATTACAACTTGACATTTATTTCAATGTTGCTTCTCTGAAACGTTCCCTAAAGTGCCACTATACAACGTCCAACGAGATAAATAGCTCGCCAAGCACAATGGTCAGATTAGGATCGGATGTACGGAACCATCTTTACCAATATCATTATGACTTCAAGGATGTTGTCCAACTCTAAAAGCAGCTGATATCGTTCGGAAGTGCATCCGGGAATATGGGGCTAATTACGGAAATTGATCAGTTCATGGGTAACATCCTTTTCTGTTTAATAGCTCAAAAATACCAATTTGCATTCAACTCTCGCGGAGGACAAAAGAATTAATCGTATTTAAATAAAACATTTGAACGGTTTAAAACTGCTGTGTACTACTCGCGTAAACTACCGGCTGTATTTAGTATGTTCCTACTAATCTCAAAATTAGTAAGATAGGAACGACCAGCGAGCAACTCTATTCTACTTGGTACTACTCTATTTGAATTATGTAAAAGGGCGCCCTGATTAAGTAATCCTGTGCAAAATCTGACTGCCGACCGCAGTCTAGTTTTGAAGCCAGCTGTACTGGAATCATGTGGATCAACAAATTTGAAGGCTATGATATAAGATGGCCCCAATAATGTCAACATCTTAGCTACAATGTATCAATGACCTAAAACTGGCGACGATTAGGTATCTAGCCTAGAACGAAATACTCCGACATTAACTAGTTAACGCAATAAAACTTGTTATTTAGGCTTTCGATATTGTACTTGAACGATAAGAGCCAGGTTCATAGATAGGTCATAATCTGATGCAATGCAAACAAATATAATTATTTTAAAGAATAATCTCTTATAGTAAATAATACAGGTAAATCGCTAACGAATAGTGATTTTAGGAAAAAGTTACTTTTAACTATTTCGTCGTAAAGTAATCACAATTTATTTTCTATAGATATTAAGAAATATAGATATTTTTTATTTAAAATGTTCATAAAATAAACTTTATACTGTCTTGATTTTACATTGATAAAAGCGCCATCTCTATATAAGCTAAACTCTATGTGTTTTAGGGGAACAGTATTCGTAATTTCGAATTCAGCTGTCACCCTTCGATAGCTCAGTTGGTAGAGCGGTGGACTGTAGAGTTATTCGGAGTCATCCATAGGTCGCTGGTTCAAATCCGGCTCGAAGGAATCTTTTTGTATTTAATCATTTTTTATTTATGTTAGGTACGGGTTTTTTTTTTAATGAACACATATTAATTATAATTTTGTTGTTCCAAATGATTTTTCTACTGAAAACTAAAAAACATTTTTATCTGCAATCAAAATAAATACATATCTTAACTTACCTAAAAAATAAACAAATTTTTATGTATCTGTAATATGTTAAATAAAAAAGGTCTGTTTCCGCCCGGGATCGAACCGGGGACCTTGTGCGTGTGAAGCACACGTGATAACCGCTACACTACGGAAACTTACTTATAAACGTTGAAATTAATATAACATATGTAAAATACGCCCTATATATTTTAGTGTTTTTTTTAGATAATTAAAAATTATATAATTTACATAATTTTTTAGATAACTATTTCTTTCATTCTTAAACTTAATTCCTCTGTTGAATTTAGTGATTCAAAACAGGATTTTTAAATACTGTCTGTAGTTTACGCGAGTAGTACACATTTAAATAAAACACTTTAACGGTTTAAAACGCAATATACTGTAGTTATACTTGTTTTAAAATATATTATTAACCACTGTCTAACTAACTGTTAACTACGGCCCGACGTTTTGGATGCCTTGCAGCAAACGTGGTCACGAGAAGACAGTGGTTAATAATAATTTTGAATAATATACAACATATCGCGTTTTAAACCGCTAGTGTTTTATTTAAACAGGATTTTTGTTAAAAATATAATCACTTACGGTTACTCGAACCCCCAACACAATAAAACACACGTACTGCGTCGTACCGCGACGCGAAGCAAACCTTCAACGGTGTGCAAAGAAACCATCTTTTATACTAGATCAAATTACTTTTCCATTGACCACCCGCTGAATAAGCTCATTATATATCTCGAGGGTGTGTTTACGGCTGATATATAATTTGCAATAACGCTCGTATTCATTTAATTTGATATTATTTTTCGTAGTTATATTCGTGACGTCATTGACGTACCTATAGATTCGCATTGTGTGGACCTAGGTCTAAAACGTTATTTTATCACTTTAATCTATACTAATATTACAAAGCCGAAGAGTTTGTTTATTTAATCGCACTAATCTCAGAAACAACTGGTTCGGTGATGGAATTGAAAAATTATTTGTGTTGATAGACCATTTATGTGACAGATTTTGTGCCAGCGACTTCGTCCACGAGAATCGTTTTTTTGGGAATCCAAATTAGTTTTTGCAAACCCTGTCATCTTTATAAACTTAAGCTGATAGCGACGACGTCGGTCGCGCCATTCCCCGTCGTTCTTGCTTTGCGTTAATCATATAGCCATATAGCAATATGTAGTCAGCATAGGTAGTCATATAGCGTGACAGACGGTTTTAGGTCATTTAAAGAGGAACCATTCTTTTATGCATATTTTTTGGGTATTTGCAGCGTACGCCTCGGAAACCCACGCAGATGAATAATTTTCCCAATGTTTTCACATTTCTCGCTGTATCTTTGCTTGTATTAGTCACAGGGCGATGTTTTATAGCCTTCCTTGATAAATGCTCTACGCAACACAAAAATAAATTAAATTCGAACCCGTAGTTCCTGTAATTAGCGCGTTTAAACGAACAAACTCTTCAGCTTTATATATTAGTATAGTTTAATATTAATCTAATTGTACATATTATTGTTGTGTTTAGTTTTTAGTTTGTTCTCTAATTTAATAATTAATACAACTAAATATTACTTACTTGTCATTATGGAACACGTATAAAACAAAAAATTAAGAATATGGTATAACCATTTTTATACGTAATAACAACAAAACAGTAATCTACCATGATGTACTCACAAGGCTGAAAATAGTAATGAATTATTCTATTTATATCGCAGTATCCAAGGAGTGTAACGAATCTAAAATTGCGCTGTCCTTGGTCCCAGCAGACGTTGTTTTGCCATATAAATTATTTGTAGGGAAATTCTGGAGTAAAAAAATAAACTTGTCGGCTTCTTACCATCTGATAATGTTGAATGAAAAAGGTGTGCCCTTCTTCCGCGTTATTGTTTTGGGTACCAAAATTTATTTTTGCAAACAACTTTTCCCCCCCAACGGCTTTATTTATTCTAGCTGTTACCCACGACGACGTCCCATACAGGTTTATTTAAATAAAAATCGTATTATTATTCTAGAACAAGATGGCGGAAGGCGTCATGGTGACGTACAACTACTCCGATACCGGGGAACACGCGAACATCCTGACTGTCTCCGCGTCCGGGATAAAGTATTCCAACCGCTGGGTGCTCACCCACGGGTCGATCCTCTCACCGTTGAAACAGGCCAAGATCATCAAAGAGGCTCGTGGTAAACCCATCTTGAATGATGAGTTCTACAACACACTGCCGGAGATGTATGTCACCTGTGAGAAGGGGGGGCAACTGGCTAACGTGTATCAGGGAGTGGAGAGGCTCAGTCGCGAGAGAACTGCCCGTGATGCTGAACTGGAACATAGCAGCTATCAGGCTAGGGTTGTTACTGGCAGGTATGTTATTATGTCAATTGAGGACAGATTAGCTCGGGATTCACTTGATGGACGGTGATATTACCCAGCCATATATAGTCTACAAGAAGCTATTGAGCTTTGGATATGCAAATCCACAAACTTTAACCGAAATCTGGTTTTACATTACACGGTTTTCACCTATTAATGGTGGTTTGTAAATCAGACGAAATTTCGAAATACCTATCCATCATTTAACATCCAGTTTACGAAGTCCACCACCTTTATAGCTTATTAGCTAATATTACAATGTGCGAGAGGTAGATAAGATTGTTTCGGTCGGGCAGGACACACATGGTGTCTGATCAACTTGCCTTTAAAGAAAACCGATTTTTCCGACCGATCGAACACAACAACGTGTTTGCCCACGCCCCGTAGGGAAAAGGGAATTTACGAAGTCCAAAATATTTCAGAAACGTTATTAATTGTTTTTACACATATACACTGTTGGCCAGTTTGGATTAGATTTTAACAAAATAAACTTCAAACAATATTACTACTACTATCCTAGTACGTTAATGGAGAAAAACTTAGAATTTACAATTATCCCTAGTCTCAAATCAAGGGCGTAAATGAACGAGAAGAATTGCTTATTAACTCACCGCCACTCCTTTATACACGAAGTTTGATTTTACAAAGCATTCACGTGTGCTTATTACATCTATGAACGAAATGTGTACTTTTGTTAACCCCCCCTTAGAATTCTCAATACATTCTCCCTCTTTTACAATCATACAATTAGAATTTGAAAATGGTTTTCAACCAGGATGCCTTTAATATATTCTGGTACTTCCAGGATCTGCCACATCTGGCAGTGCCCAATCCTCGACAGGTGCGTGGACGACATCCTTTACAGCTGGACGATCGGGCATCGCGACGGAGACGTGGAAAAACAGACGCAGTTGGGCAAAGCCTTGCTCTCAGTCTTCGTGCTTATAGATTTGGAGAGCGACAATAAAGGTAGGTTTTTGTTCATATTATGTGGTAAAAACTTTTCCCATAAAATGTAACTTTTTAAAGAAGAACCTAATTAAAATAAAACAGTTTAACGGTTTAAAACTTATTTGAAAATGATTTTTAACTTCGGCAATTATAGAATTGACTAAGTCATTTCTGTAAGGACCCGACGAAGAATGAACGAGAAGAACTGGCAAGAAACTCGCCAATATTAAAAACAATGTTTAACATATTGGGATAAAATTATATCTCTACTTTAAGCAATAAAAGAAGAATGAAATTTAAAATCTGCAGTTGTTTTACAAGAGTATATTCAGACAAAAGTATAGTCACCGTTCAATACACGAATTGTTCACTTCTTCTTGTGGTATTCACATGTTTTTAACATATCTGAAACAAATGTTGCAATGATGTTCCCTTTTATAAACCGTGCTAGCAAAAACAAATTTGGCAGACACTACAAAAAGCCTAGTAACATTGTCAATTTTTAATAAAACACTTTAAACAGTTCCAAATGTGAAACATTAATTTATTGGTTTAACTACGACCCGACGATTTGCATGCTTCTTAGCAACGTAGGCTACGAAGAATTCGCCCGTAGTAAAAAATGATTGCTTAAAATATGTAATCGTTTTAAGACAGTTAAAAGCGTTTTATTTAATGTGTACCAGTATACGTAGTTTAATAGGCAACACTGCATTGCGAGTAGGCGATAAGAGGTCCTAGGTTCGACACCGGTAAACGATATATTTCGGGTTAACGGAGTATGGTAGAGAAGTGCAATAACTTCTTGCCTCTAAATAAACCAGAAAATTAACATAGAAATGTATGTGCCCCTATGAGCCACAGGAGAAACGGGATTTCGCTACTCGTGTGACACATGACTTATGCTGTGTGGCAGTCCTATTAAAAATCCCTATTTACGTTTCCCAATTCTGCCTATTACAAGCTTGAGAGGTCTCACCTTCCAATGGATCCTTCAAGAGGAAGTTATAGTTGTGCCGCCAATCATTAATCGTCCTCCTATGCCCAATGGGCTCTGGGAACAGTTCCATGCACTTCATCTTGGCCTCTTTCTGAAGGGCTGCTACGATGCCCAAGAACAGCCCACCCAAGAGTACTGCATGATAGGAGCCCACATACGCAGCAAATATTGGACCGCACGCAAAACCACCTGTTTTTAAAAAGCAAAACAATCCATGTAGGCACTACTTACTAATAGATTTTATATACAAGTACACATAAGTTAAAATAAAACACTTAACCGTTTAAAACGCGAAATCGATTAGTTAAACTTTTAAACATTGTCTGTAGTTTACGCGAGTAGTACACATTCAAAAAAACAATTAATAATTTTCAAATAAGTTTAACTAACTATATATCGCGTTTTTTTAACGCTTTAAAGTGTTTTATTTAATTTTATTTTAACGTTTCGGATGCTTTGCAGCAGCCTTGGTCACAGGGACTCAAGATGGAGGGTGTCCCTAATGTCATAGTAAAAGTTACGTGACTTAAACCGTTTAGCGTTTCATTTAAATGCGTATGTGCATATATCAATAAAGGTTAAAAAAATCGACGATGATAGGACTCGTTAGCTCAATTGGTAGGTTCCCAGAGCAACAGCACGGAACGCTGACGATGCCGGTTCAAGTCCGAGTGGAAAATTTTTTCAATTTATTTTCGATCTTTAAATTATATAGTGCCATCGTGTGCATCGTGACATGTGAAAAATATTAACGTTTTTAATCGACTTGTTTTAAATGATAGATTTTAATTTATACAGGCAAGCAGTTCATACTATAATTTGATTTTTGATTGCCATAACTTGACTTGGAAACAACATTTCGAACCACCTCTAGACAAACGAGACAGTTGATCAACTTATCTTCAATTTTCTCTTAGCGCGGATTTTCACGTCCGCAAGAACTTACCAGCAAAGTAATTCCAATGATCATCTTGCTTTCTGTAGAGCAACAACCCGTTTGAAACCGCGGCGAAGGTAGCACCCATGGTCATTAATGGTGCAGTATGAAACATGAATCTGAACAGAAAGTAAATATATCAATATGTATGTATACAGAAAACGTGAGATAATAAAATAGTTATGTCCCCCAGTGACCAACTGCTGGTGTACTACTTTCGAATCGCGTTTAAACCCGAAAAAATAAATCGAACTAAGGATGATATAAAAATAATATATTTAAAACAACACTTAACCGTTAAACACGCGGACTATATGAGTTATCTCATCAAGTGTTTACTAATCGCATGAACTATAGACAATACTATCTCGTAGTGATTTAAGCAATACAAGGCTGTAAGTCGTTAAGGAGTTCCTTCGACTGTCTCTCGGCTCCAAAAAAAAACAAAAACTTTTTATCAAATTGTAGTGCCTTAAAGCGCTGAACGAACTAACACAGACAGTCGTCTATACGATTTTTTAACTCAACATACACATTTCAACAAAAAGAAAATATAATAACGCACAAAAAAGCATGTCCCTATACGAATTGAAAACGTACTTTTTTTAAGTCGGATCCAATGTAAAATTATATTACTATAATAAGCGTAAAGTATGATCTTACCTTTTAATAATGGGTCCAAAACCCACCGCATGAGAATACAGTAGGACATCCTTGGTCCCCAAAAGGAAGCCAGCAACGGCGCCTAGGCGAGCTGATGCAAATATCTATAGCAAAGATCATTCCAATTCAAAGTGGTCCTGAATGTCCATGTCAAAATAAATCGACAACGCGTCCTAATACGATTACAGGGTCTATCGTACAAAAACCGGTCAAGTGCGACAATAAGGGCTATCTAGGGGTTCCCTACCAGTGACAAAAAAAACAGTAAGGTAGGTACATAAACATGCTAAAATAAAAATCTATTTAGAATGAAAAAATCGATGACGCGGGCGGAGCTTGAACCGGCATCCACGGCGATCCGTGCTGATGCTTTAGCTACCGTGTCTCACACGTGCTAAAACGGGAAGTTTAATAAAGTCAAATTCATAATTTCACGTTTAAATTATGTTATTATTATTTATGTATATATATATAGAAATAAAGAAAGTATTCAGTAAAGCATTTTTGATATTTCAATATTGCACCTGTTGCCATTATTAGTTAAAAAAAAGTTTGTACCCTTTGAGAAGTGAATCTCTAAAACAATGTAAAATACCTTTATCATACCTACCACTGGATTGGTCCCTTGTTACCTACCCTTTTTCCTTACACGACATCACAGCCATCTGGCGAGTCATAATATCGATAATAGTTTCGCGTAGATTTTGTCTTCACTTCCACTTGGTTACATTCGCAAGACATTTTATTCTAAAATTCATTACACTACGTTTGACACAATTCATTTCAATACATGGCATCTATTTCTGTTTGAAATGGGAAAGGTTTTTAAATAAAGAGGTTGTATTCCAAATAAAATACATAACTATTAATAAAATTGGCCAAGTGTTAGTCGGAATTGCACGAATGGTTCCGTATTAACTAGGTATTTATATTCCACGTTCTAAGCTTCTCGTAGTAATGTCAAGTGCCCATCTGTTACATTTTTTTAATTTCGAGAAAAAATAGCTAAAATTATTCAGTTCTTTTTATGTAAATAAAATTTTAATATTCACTCTTTAGTATTTATTTTAAGCAATAACGCTAAAATAAATAGGTCATAATTTTTAAAAATGGCAACTCTGTAGCTATCAGTTTTGGAGCCACTGCCTGATTATAAACAAACAGACAGACAGACAATGAAGTATTAAAAATAATAGAGTTATATCCTTTTGGGTACGGATCTCTAAAAAGTAACGATATCATCTTGTAGCTTAGAGTTATAATACTTTGAAGCCCAATTTGTCTGGTGAATAGTTTTTATCTTTCCCATTAAGGTCTGAAGACTCTTCGTCCACTGTCAGAACTGCTCGACATGGTGCGACCACCCCCCGAGCGAGGCACAAATATCGAAGTGCATTCGACGCCGTTCGGATGTGAGGTACGTTACGTAGAATTATTTTGTTGTATGAGGGTAGCACGGGCAGAGTAGCCTAACTGCTAACCTTAATTTTATGACATGACACCACTGTGACCGAAAATTGTTAACATAATTCTTACACAAATATTAGTAGAAATTTATCTTGGCCTAACTTAATTGCGCATTTTTATTTTCCTCCTTATTGAAACTCATGTTTTTTGTTATTAGGCCACTCTGCCTCTAGTATCCTCATATAATAGTTCACTCTTGCTTTTATCTCGTAAACACGAGGAAGAAATCGTTGCCTATAGCGGAGACATATGATAGAGGAGGACAGATGACTATGGGGTTCTAGATGAGAGGTGAAATACCCCCGCTGTATAACATCTAAACAAAAGGCACTGGTGACCTATTTTGGCTTTGGACATTCAAAAACCAGAGATTAAAACCGATACGAGATTAAACTTTTTTTTATCTGTGGACGGTGGATCGCGAACTGGACTAAATTTTCAATATTCCTATCATACATTCTATGTCTAGATTTACCAGCCGAAGTCAATGTTTCAGATCATTAGATTTAAGATTATAAATTATTTTAGAAACGTGGCCCCGATGCAAATCGAATCCACTACCCGTTAATTATTAGCTATCCATTGCTACCACTAAACGAGTACTCAGGTCGAAATTATTATGATAATCACCAGGGTTTGAAATCTCTTAACGTTTAAAAACTGATTTATATCGAAAAACACAAATACTGTAACTTTATTTATTGATGTCCCCGATAATGTGATTTCCAGGTCTTCCTAAATGCAGTAACTCGTGGTTCTGTTTGCGGCGTTGTCGGGAAACGTCCAGCCTTGCTCCTAACAGATGCTGCTACGGCTCTTGGCTCGGAAGGTGGGCCCGTGTATACTGCTGGTCCTACGTAAGTAACGTTCAATTGCACCATTATACATGTCTTAAATAAAACACTTTAAACGGTTTAAAACGCGAAATATATTAGTTAACTTATGTAACATTTCTTTTAATCACGGTTCGACGTTCCGGATTCTTTGCGACAGCTGTGGTCACGGGGCGGACTAAAGTTGGAGGGTGTCCCTAATGTTAAATCTGATACGCTAGCAACACTTGTTTCGTCGTAGTTGGTATTTTGAAAACCTGGCTATTTCGCATTTTAAACCGTTAAATGTGTTTTATTTGAATTGAATGTACTACAGATAATCAATTTCCTATTGATATTATTAACAAAACAATATAAAGAAAAGAAAGCAAATTTTTTCCACTATATATGGGTTAGTGTTGATTTATTTCAATCTTCAAAAACAAAAGTTTTTTTTTTAAGAAAGGAAAATAATCTAACTAACCAGAATTATTATGACATAAGCACATATATATTATACTAGCTGTATCAGCGACTTCGTTATTTTGTCGTTAATATTTAATCGTTATTTTGGGCATCCAAATTCGGTTTTGAAAACCCACGACGTCGGTAGCGTCCCTTCCCGTTCTTGCAAGTTAATCTTAAAAGATAGTTACATAGCGTCGCGGACTTTTTTTTAGATCATTTAAAGTATGAGAGAATTATTCCCCTTTCTCTACAGCGTACGCCTCGGAAACCCATAATGACGAATATTTTTCCATTTTTTTTTCACATTTCCCGTTGTATCTTGGCTTTTATTAGTCACAGGGCGATGTATAATAGCCTTCCTCGATAAATGCTCTAACCATCACAACTCGTAGTTAGATGTTAGTATTCCAAAATGAAACCTTTTTCTTTGTCTCTAAATTAATACTATTTACAGGAAAGAGTTAGTAGGCGTCGTGGTGTGCAGTGTGTCCTGGTGGAGGGGAGAGTGGGTCGGCTTGACCCTGACTGCTCCGTTGCGGTCGATTCTGGCTGCGAAGCTGAGGGTCCCAGCGGACTGCGTCATGCGCGCTGCTCCGTCTCCTTTGCTGCGAGAAATTTTAGGTACATAAACAAATTAATTATAGCAATTAAATAAATCCTCTCCATAAGGCCATCTCTGTAGACAAATGGTTGCCTAGCATTGAGTTAAGCGCGAGAGGTCTTGGAATCCCGGGGAAACAATATTTCGGTCGTGCAGGGTACAGAAATCTGATCAACTAACATATTTGTACATTATGGCACCATATAATTTAAAAATTGAAAATAATTTCTACCAATTGACCTACCGAGTCCTACACCTCATCGTCGAATTTTTTCAACTTATTGATATATACACCTCTCGCGCAATGTAATTTCAACCTTAACACTTGCGTATTAGAGTTCAATGTGTCTGCTTCGCATCTTAAGAAAATTACAGAAGACGAAATAACAGAGTTGTAACGTTTGAAAACTAATATTGTTCACATGTTATTGCTCAATTGGAAGAGCAACAGCACGGAACGCGATGCCGGTTCAAGTCCTGACCGAGTTGAATCTTTTTTTAATTTATTTTCGATTTCTAAACGTGTTTGCCCCATTGCCCACAAGTAAAGTCCCTTTTAATCACATAAGGAATATAGATCATATATTTCAGATAACATCGATCGAGTGACAATGCTGGTTCGATGTGGTGCGTCGTGGGGGGCCGGTGTATACCTTGGGGGCGGGTTCGTCCTCACTTGCGCTCATGTCGTCAAGAATGTAAGTAAGAAAGAAATAATTTATTCTGCTAAAAGGCAAATTGAAAAGAAAAGGTTCGTTTGGCTTAGTTACTAAGGCTTAGTTTAAATAGCTTAATTTCTATATTTATTAAATTAAATTATTATTTCTAAAATGAAGTAGTTTTCAACTAACTTATTGTAGTTAGACAATTACCAAGGATTGACACCGCCTTATATTTGTTGACATTACTGTACATAATAAGAGATCCGTCAAAATTGTATGCGTTTCTAATGAATATCTATGGGTACCTATTTCGATAAAAATAAGATTTTATTTATTCATAGTTTTTCCAGTACTTACGTGCTGCTTTTTATACGCCATTCGTGATTAATTTTTAATACCTTCGTTTTAAATAATTATATTACCTTATTATTGGGTGGCTAATTATAATATAGCCTAATCAATATTTAATAAGTGCGATCCCCAATTCTACTTAAATCAAAAAATATGTTTTCGATACGAAGACATCTAATTACCATCTACCACTTACTTAGTAAAGAAATAATTAAATATATCTATCCCTTTCTAGCACGCGTCGAGCAAAGTATCGCTGTACTGTCAGAACGTGAAAGAGACAGCTATAGTCCGATACAAGAGCGCGGATGACAAAGCTTACGACCTCGCTCTGCTGTTTACGAATCCGCAGTGCTGGACACACCTCTTGCCAGCTGGCTTCAGCGATAGTCCAGTAAAGAAAGGTATGACATACTTAATTTTGTGGACACATTTTTGTGTCTGTTTATTGTTTTAGCGCAAACTCTTGCGCCAGCTAAGCGGTTTTTTTATTGATAATATCTTGGCCCGAGGCGGTCAATACTAACCGAACGTTAAAGTGAAGCATTTCAAACTAAATCTTGAGACTGTGTATAGTTTACGCGAGTAAATTATACACAGTACTTTTAAATAAAACATATAAACGGTTTAAAATGCGAAATGTATTACTCAATTTACAAATTATTTTAACTACGCCCCGAAGTCTCCGAAGCCTCCGAAATGTCGTTAAAATAAGTTTGACTGAATATATTTAGCATTTTATAGTGTTTTATTTAAAAACAATTATCTAACCAAGCTAGCAAACCATTTCTTTTTCAATATTTATTTAACAGACTACAGTTTTGCGTTATCAAAAATATATAGTTTTAAATACTGTCTATAGTTTACGCGAGTAGTACACATTTAAATAAAACACTTTAACGGTTTAAAACGCGATATATTAGTTAAACTTATTTGAAAATGATTTTTAACTTCGAAACGTCGGGCCGATATATTAGTTAAACTTATTTGAAATCATTTTCAAATAAGTTTAACTAATATATCGCGTTTTAAACCGTTAAAGTGTTTTATTTAAATATATAGTTTTATCTCATATATGCATGATTCGCAGACTTCTTATAAATAAATAACTTTTCTTTTAAATATTAACAAGTACAATTTACTATATAAATAAAAAATCCACGTCGTATTTTTTTTAAATTTATTATCGAATTTGAATATTAAAATTTTCAAACTACAATTTACTAATTACATATAATTAACTTCACAGGAGAGTCCGTACTGGCTGCTGGCTATCCATATTTCAACGAGAACAATCTAGAAGGTTTGAAGCCCACCGTGACCTTCGGGCACGTCAATAATGTCTCTCCATCCATGATACAGACCTCATGCTGCATCCAATCTGGGTTCAGGTAAATTTCAAAGCAAAATACGTTTCTTATCAGTAAGGTCATATAGGAATTAGTTTACTTTATCCTGTCTCCGCCTTTGTAGCCAAATGGTACAATGTTGCCTAGCATTGTGTTACGCGAGAGAGGTTCTAGGTTCAAATCTCGGAGAGACTATGAAGTGTTTCGGTCAGGGCGCAGAAGTCTGATCAACTTGCCTGTAATAAAACCGATCAAGTGAGACGGACACAGTTTTGTGTTCGCCTGCAAGTTTAATTAATACTGCAATAAGCAATTTTAATTGATAAAACCTTCCTGTTTACTTCTTGTATTTGTGGTTAAATGTATAAAATAAATTAATTATGTAATCACGCATATCTTTTACGTTGTAAATTAAGTACATAGATAAGAAAATACGTATACAATTTTAAATAAAATATATTAAAAGGTTTAAAATAGCAAAATATATTAGCTAATTTAACTACGCCGCCAAGGTTCGGATGCTTTTCAACAGTCCATCTTTCATGCTCCATCTTTAGTCTCGTATCCGCAGCTGCTAAAAATCACACGTATATTTCGCGTTTTAGACCGTTAAAAGTGTTTTATTGAAATGTACACTTCTCGCCTAAAATATAGACCATTGACATTCGCGTAAATATTATGGATATTTGCTTTAACACTTGAACCCTCACAAAATTTTGTACTTGTTTTTTTAACAGTGGTGGTCCGATATTCCGAGTGAACGGCAGCCGAACAGACGTGGTTGGTATAATCGTCAGCAATACCAAGACCAAGGCCGGAGCGTGCTATCCCTACATCAACATGGCGGTCCCCTCCACTGCCTTTCTCAAACTGATTCAGAACTTCATCTTGAACAGAGGTAATTTGACAGAATACACACGCGAACTATATTTGTTCAGTAATTATAGATTAGCAGTATCTGTGGTCACGAAGACGTTGATTGTCGATAAAGACACTTCAAATATTAGACAACTAACTTATAGTGACGAAAAATCGGTTTTTCATTTAAAAAATCCGACACGGGCAGGACTTGAACCATTTTTTTTTTTTCGCTGTTGACCAATTTCGGCTTTGGATATTCGGAAATCCAAAGATTGAAAATAAAAAACTTGACGGCTTTTTTTATCTGTGGACGGTGGTTCGTGGCCTGGACAGGATTTCGATATTCACACCAAGCCTTTAACACCTTGATTTTCAGACGACGTTTAGCACGTTTCAGAAAACATTTAAATCGATTAGAAAAATGTTGGACCCGGTGAGGATTGGGTCAATCGACCCGTTAATTATAAGCCGTACATTGCTACAATTGCACTAACTAGTAACGTCCGCCCCATTTCTTTATTCGAGTTTGGTATTAACAGCAAGTAACTCTAGGTCTTCTTCCGTAGTGGAATATTTGACCACGGCTTCTATAAACCACTGAATCTCGGGTCTAGGTAAAAATTACTTAATATAAATAGTTTTAAAGTCTAGAGATGCGCCGAGTAACACTTTTAGCGAGTAACGAGTATCGACTTTACTCGGCTCAATTTTTTTTTCCACCGAGTACTCGGCCGAGTACCTCGGTTCAATCAAATTTCCAATAAATTTTACATATTAATTATTCTTATAACTGTTTCTTAATTTTGTCTCATACACAAATACTACTCATTCATCAGCATAATTTTGATTTTATTTGTTAAGACTTCAAAGATTTCCTAAATTAGGTAGGTACTAATAATACTTATGGATGAACACTGTTGTTAATGATATCTACCTAAAGATATTGCTTTTCTAAAACAAAGTGTTTAGATAAGATCAGATGTCTCGGTTATACTTTGTTATAAAATAACATATATAGTTTAAAAACGAAAATAAATTGAAAAAAATTTCGACTCGACGATATCAAAAAACCCGCCGAGTACGCAGTACCGAGTATCAACCGACTACTCGGCCCATCTCTATTTCAAACCATGAAATCTGTTTATTAACTTCCGATCTACTGACTGAAAAATTGTGAACATCATTTATTACACCATTATCGGAATTTTCTTACTAAATTTCAGTTTCAGTTGGATTCAGATGTTAAAAAGCAAAACTGTTTCAAAAAAATAATACAAAGTGTGTATTACTTACCCACTAGCTAAGTCAGCGACTTCGTACGCGTCGAATTTGGGTGTCAATTTTTCTTTTTGCAAACCTGCTGTTATAATTTAAAGAGGAATCATTCTTTCATACACATTTTTTTGATATCTTGAACCGCTTTGCAGCGTACGCCTTCGAAAGCCAGAATGATAAATATTTTTTTGCTGTATCTTCGCATCTATTAGTCACAGGGCAATGTATAATAACCTATAGTCTTCTTCGATAAATGCTCTAACTAACACAAAAATAATTTTCCAATTCGAATCTGTAGTTCCCGAGATTAGCGCGTTTAAACATACAAACCCATCAGCTTTATATGTTAGTATAGATTATAGCCGACACTGGTGTTAATTAGACACTATACAAATAAATATTGCCTTAAAGATATAGTAAAAGTTTTTCGTCTAATGTCTTTTAATTATGGCCTCGAATGTGTGTTTCACCTTATTCGAAAAAACTTTTCAGCTATAGTGATAACACAATTTATTTTTTTCTAGTTAGTGTATTTTTTTTCTTGCAGACGAGAAAAAGCTGTCCACGATCGAGAACAAACGCGAGATAGTGCAATCGCAGTGGCGTCTCCTTCCCTACCGTTCCAAGATCTAAATACACACAAAAACATTTAAATAAAACACTTTTAACGGTTTAAAACGCGAATAATTTGCTAATTTATTTTAACTACGACCCGACGTTTTAAACTGACACAGGATCAAAAAAAAGCATCCGAAATGTTGCGACCTCGTTAATAAGTCAACTAATATATGTCGCGTTTCAAACCGTTAAAACAAGACGTAAACTACACATTTACTAAAATAGTATTTATTCGATCATGACATACTCATTCCATTGATATTTAAATTTTATTATTAGGCTTTGTTGTGATATTATTTAAGTGTGTCCCTGGTGGACGTTTGTAGTATTAAGGACTGTTTAAGGTGACCAATAAATTGTCTGACATAGAATATTGTTTCACTGTTAAAGCTAAAGGGCGAAACCGGAAGACTTAGTTGTATGTCTGTCAACAGATTAAAATACAATTAATATTTAAAAACTGATCTTCAGTCTGCTTTTTTTAACATCACAACAAATGATTTGAAAACACTTGTGTTCGAAATTAAATAAAAAATTCGGAGGGTAGTTTTGTATTATCGATACGACGGCCGAACAAGGGTAAGGGTAAGGCTTTTCGGGTGCCACGTGCGTGTTATTGCTAAAATTTTTAATTATTAAGTTTATGTGACTGCCCAATAAGAGTATAAGTTGTAACGCCTGCGTGTAAGGTTTTGAAATATCGTCATTAAAATTTTCGCGAGTCCAGTGCGTAATTGAGAGTAAAACATGATCGTAAATTCAGTGTGCATACTACTGGTGACGTTAGTTTATACCCCGTGAAATGCCGTTTCCCCCTCGTGGGGCATGGGGCGAGCACATTTCTGCGTCCGCTTCACTGATCCGTTCTTTAACAGCGATAGTTGATCAGACTTCTGTGTCCTGTCCGACTGAAACATTTTTGGTTTCCTTGGGCTTCGAACTCAGAACCTCGCGCGTAACGCAATGCTAGGCAACACGTTTTAACCATTTGGCTACAGAGGCGCCCTTTGTTTCTTAATATAATTAAATTCCCTCTTATATGGCCGCCTTTTACACCCAGTTACAGACAGACAGACACGCCGCAATAATAGTGCAATTAAATCAAAACAACCACTGGACCGGAGCCTAGTTATCCGTGGTCATTTAAGGTGTTTATAGATATTTTTACCGTTTTCGTCTTTGTGATACCTTTGTGAACCTGAAATAATATGTAAAAAGGACCTTTATGTCTAATAAGATGTTTTAGTATAACGTAAAAGTTGTAACAATGCCTTTTTTTATTTATATATGTTCACAATACAACCTAATTGAATATCGAACCTTACTTCTTGTGTCGTCGGTATCTATTTTTCACTCTACCATGGATAGGGCGTTCAAAAGCGTCAACGCAGCGATGTTGACCCGACGTCGACATCTTGCATGTGATGACCCGACGTAGTGACGCTGCCGTTACGCCGATGCTAGTCTAAAGGTGGGTTCCACTTGGTATCTAATCATCCGCATAGAACACGTCGAGTTCGAATCCGACTTGATTTTGCTCTTAATATTGGAAAAAGTAAATAAGAACATAAAACAGAAATAGAGAGAGTGAATAAAGCAAAAGAAAGACATAATTGTTTTTAATCTACGGTTCCTTTAGATTTCAGAAGATATAAAACCTCCACGTTCTCTTCTACATATCTTCTATCAAGATCTGTGCTCTACGTAAAACGTCACTCTGATTATTCAATTAAATACTCAATAACAATGGCGCGTAAAGGACAGGTCTCGATACAGGACACGGTGGAAACGAACGAGGACTTTGAGGCATATTTGACTTCGCATTTTAATCAGTTAATATGTAAGATACAATTAATTAGTAGAATCATAAAAAGCGTTTAGAGTGGAGACTGTATGCTGGACGTCGTGCAGCCAGAAGACGAGCCTGTCAGGTGAAAAGGCCACCTAGTCAAGATTCTGGAAATGTTGCATTCAAGCAGCGAGCTGAAAGTCTTGGTTGAGGGCCCTTTGTCCAGCACTGGAGAACGAACGGCTGTCTGAACTGAAGTTTGTTGATATGTTTATGGTATTCCACTATCCTTTGATTCTCTTCCACCTCATTAAAAAGAAGAAATGTAATTTGGGCTTTCAAGCTATTTGGCCGTCGTAATTGACAAATAGTTCTCGACGTTTTGCTATCACGAGTGGATAAAGTAATCTAATGTTGTGTGTTTCTCAGCTAAACGCAGCGAAACGCTAAGTCGCGGAGAGACCAACAAAAAATAGCTAAATGGCTTCAAAACCATTATATAATTTAACTAGTTGAGTCAGCGACTTCGCTCGCATAGATAGTTATGTTCGTCCGCGTCCCGTCGTTCTTGCGAATTTTAAAGGATAGACACATACAGTACGCGTACTTGTTTTAGATCAATTAAAGAGGAATCACCCTTTTTTCCATATATTTGGGTATTTTTAAGGGTATATGAAATTGTTCGCCTCGCTGCAGCCTAAGTCAAATTCAAAAAAGAAAGCTAACGAAAATTCTTGCCTCCTTAGAGGGGAATTCGACAACTTTTCTTGTACCTGTGAAGCTCTAGAAATTGTGGATACACATACTTACCTAGGACTCATTATTGATGATCGCCTCAGTTGGAAACACCACATAAATGCGGTGTGCGACAAACTTAGGGGTATATTGGGCAAGTTTGCAATAATTAAGTACAAAATACCATAATATACAACTCGCTTATTACTGCACGGGGCACTAGCCGCATCGATCATTCAATACGGTCTATTGGGTTATGAGAGGTCCAGTAAATCACCTTGATCGTGATTATTCTCTTCAGTTTAGAATTTTAAAGACTTACCACTGTAAATATAAAAAAATAACCTCTACTCGCTCCAAATACCTTCCAATTCACGTTGCGACTTGCTTGTTTATTGCTTATCATAATGCGTAAAACTGTTCGTAATATAATTATATAATATATAATGAAAGAGGCTCCAAAAATACTTCCTTAGATTAGCGCGTATAGATTTTTTAAACTTGACTAAGTGGATAGACCAACAAAAGTCATAGATAGTCTTCGTTTAACTTTGAAACGATCGATTTGAATTTCTCCTGATAACGTCATCCACTGGTGATGACGTAAGGAATTATTTATTTATTTAAAGCCATCATATCATAAATTAATAAAGTTTTCCAATAATTCATTATTACTCTTTGTAATATAGGTATGGAGGTTTATTCTGAGTTCTGTGGCTTTTGTCTCGCTACGGGAAACGCTATAAGGAAGGGCAAATTGGAATTGGGGCAGGATCGTATCGCTATGGTCAAGGTATACTTCTACTAAATTATATGAGAACTTTATTTCATCAAATTTTTTCAATACATATCTTGGTGCTTATATGTGTCATAATCAAATGACCACCACCACCCATGCTCAATCCATCCATCATGTATCTAAAACCAATTTTTCTGCTGTTCACCTATAAAATCTGGATATTGAATCGATAGTGTGTAATCCCGTTTCCCCCTCTGGGACATGGGGGAAATACATCTCTGTGTCCATTTCACGGATCTGTTCTTAATTATCTTATATCAAATTTATTGTTTTCCTGGGTTCGAACGCAGGAGCTCTCGCTTTAACGTTATGCTAGGAAACCCGTTTGACCTGATTAAAGAGGCGGTCATTGGTAGGAATACCGAAATTCCTGCAGGCCATCACCAACTAATGGAAACCCGATGCGGATTACATTTAAGCTTCAGTCTGTCGATTTCCGAGCGTTCAAAGACAAAATTGGTCTACTGTACCTCTAGTTTGCATGTTATATCGTATCGTATTTCATCCTATGTCGAAACGTCGGGTCGTTGTCAAAATACTTAGTTAAAAGTATTAATTGCATAAACTACAGACAATAAGATGTCTTTAAGGAAATATATATATGAATTTTAGGCTCTAGCCGACAACATTGAAGCTTTGTCGAGGTTTAAGGATAAAAGCGAACCAGTTTTCCTGTTCATCGTGGTACGTACGATTTATTTCATATTTACTTATTAATTTAAATTATCGAATGTACGTTGTGTTTGTAAACAAATTTAAGATGTCAACTAATGAAAAAGTATATCAAATGACTGTTTAAGAAGTTGTCCTAAGCGGTCGGTGACTGATTACCGACGCAAGTGGTCATAGGCGGGTCGGTATTTGTTGCCAACCGTAAGAGCATTTTAAATCTGTTTCCTAAAATTAAAAGTAGCTCGATTGGCTACAGTTTAAGCTGCGACTCTTAAATTAACAGTAAAAAATATGACCAGCAGGAAGTGCTCATAGGCTGTGTCCATGAATATGGAGAATGCCCTCGTAAGCGTTCTCAACAACCCCGACGACGACTTAACAAAAACTTATCACGACGCGATCCGCCGGCACCGGCGCCAATCGTCCGCGAAACCAAAGGCAAAGGCGAGGTCATTTGCTCCGCGTACCGCTCACAAGGACAACTTCCGTCCAGCTCTTCAAGCTCCTATCCGCATTGTGGCGGTCCAAGCCGAAACCGATTCCCCCTCGGGGTACACTTGGTCTAGTCGGAGACACGTCCATTAGTATTAAGGGCCCAAAGGCCTTTGTAAACCGATAAAAGTTTTTTTAGTGGAATTCGGAAACAAGAGACAACGAATTTTGATGTAGATTTTCTTTTCCAGAAAGGTAAGTTGACTCGTGCGATGTTCGGAGCGAACGGTATAGAGCTCTGCCGAATCATTGATGAGGAGCTGGGACTGATGCAGAGGGAGATAGCAACAGGTGTAGAGAGAAGGAAGCAAGATATACAGGAATTGCTGCCCGAAGAGGCTGTTAGTATCTAATCTAATCTAATACTTATATTAACTGTAACATTGGTATTTATCTAGCGAGATTGTAAATTGTCGAATTATAAATACACTTTTAACAGTTTCAAAGGCGAAACTTATTTACAAATAAATTTAACTGCGACCCGACGTTTTGGGTGCTTTGCAGCAATTGTAGTCACTGAGAGACATCAATGACTTTGTATGATAGGGAATGACAAACAATCGTGGGGTTATGATATAACCCAGCTATATAACATCTCAGCATGATGTGCTATTTACCTATATTGGCTTTGAATATTCGTAAAAAAAAAACAGACAAACACAGATAAATCGGAAACGCTATTAAACTTAACGGCTTTTTGCTTTCGAGTGGACGGTGGTTCGTGACCTGGACGGTATATCGATATTTCTAACCCCTCCCCCATTGCTACCAATGAGCCCATATTCGATACTTTACTAAATTTTAACTTGTAGGCGAAAATCAAAGCCGACCTAAAACTAGAGGAAGATGCTCGCGAGAACACCGAAAGATTACGAGTGCTGACCCTCGCTGCGAGAAAGAGACGGGTGAACGACCGTCTCGCTTCCCACATACGGAGGCTAAACTTCATCATGTTCTGGCCACACTGTCACCAAGCCCACTACGACCTTTACGAGAAGTGGGATATGATCAGTAATTTTATTATATTTCCCTTTATTAATCGATATTTTCATTACTTATAACAGAGGATTCACTCGATGGTAGGTGAAATAGCATCTAAACAAGATGCGTGGTCGACCCATTTCTACTTTGTATATTCGGAAATCCATAGACTGAAACCGAAAAGTGATTAAACTTGCCGGCTTTTTCATTTGTAGTTCGTGACCCGGACATGGAATTTCAATATTTCTACCACCCATTTAATATCAATATTTACTCTCCAAATTTTTAAAAAATTATAAATAAATATACTTGTAGTCTACACAGCAGTACTACACATTTAAATAAAACACTTTAACGTGGTCCCCGTTGGCAAATTATATTAAAATAATTTTCAAACAAATTTAACCAATATATCGTTTTACTTTTTTTAATATTAATAAAATATTAATGGGATCAAAAACAATTTATAATAATTATAATTTAATTTATACCTACTTAATTTATAATATTAATGTTGAGAAAATCATATTAAAATTAAATAATTTTTAATAAAATATCTTATTATAACTAGACTATGTTGGATAAATATTGGTAACTTAAATACTTTGCATTTTAAACCGTTAGTTTTTTATTTGAATTTGCACTACCCGCGTACAGACTATATATATAATACGAAATTGAAACATATTCGTTAATATAACTTTCAAACTGTGACGTCACGTGACATCTACGTCGGGTCGTAATGAGAAAGTGATTAAGAATCCCGTGGTAATTCTCTCTGCAGATATCCAAGTGGCGGCCAAAGAGACGTTCCACGTGACCGAGGAGGGTGCGAAGGAAGCCCTCTACATGAGTGACGTGGCACCCAACGAGGCCTGCCTCCACGCCCTGATGAGTGGGGAAACCCTAGTCGTGGTCTTCAAGATGTTCGATACGGATAATCGGGACTTCGTTAGTGAGTAACATTTCAAGGACTGTAAAATCTAAATTCTATTACGCATTGAAAAAAATTCCGACTCAGGCAGAACTTGAACCGGCGTCCATAGCGTTCCGTGCAGTTGGTCTAACCAATTGAGCTACCGAGTCCTACATTTTATCGGAGTATAGATACTTAGGAACGTCAATATATGTAGTTAAAATTAAAATACTCTAAATATACATGTTCTTTAATCGATCGTTGAACGGACGAGAAGTACTGGCAAGAAACTCGCCACCGCTCCTCCCATCGCTAACTTCCAGTTACTTTGATACAAATTTCACTTAACAACATAATTTTTTAGTAAATAAATATTAATATGTGGAATTATTAAAAGAGTTTCTATAAAAAAATATGTTTTAAAAGAGAAAATAAAACATAATTTATTAGCCATCATAAAATTACATTATTTAAATTACCATACAGTTCAAATTACATTTTACCGAAGATGATTACTACTTTACTCGTGCGAGCGAACGTTCAATAGGATTCAGATGACAAATAGAGTCCCGCCATCAGAGAAGTAGTGTAAAAGGCGCCTTTTCCTTTCAATCTATAATAATATTTAAAACTATAATGACTCATATATCTTTCACTATTAAGTCGGTAACTTCAAGACAAAAAGTATCAGTCTCTATGCACTAGAATTGTTACGCCACGCCCTTTACGAAGAAATCCCGATCCCGAAGGAAGACGTTCCTCCAGAGAAGCAGATTCCACCCATACCGGCTTACGAAAGGTACGCGAGCATCAGTAAGACTGCTCGTGAAGTGAGAAGAGAGAGATATGAAGCTCTTATGCAAAAATTGGTACTTTCCTTATTTTAATATATAGAAGGACAGACAACTTGGGGTAGAACTTGACAGGTAGGTGAAATAACCCAGCCACACAACATCTAAGTAAGACCCGCTGTCGTCCTATTTTGGCTTTGGATATTCGGATTTTCTTTTGTAGTAAAATAAGAACGCATCTTGACGTGGGGGAGCAAAAAAATTTCTATAAATACTACCCCCTTTTGCTAATTTATTAATTCTGAGGTTTTCCCAGCGTGACGAAAAAGAGGAACGAGAAAGACTGGCAGCTGAGCAGGCTCGGCTGGCGAGAGAAGCAGAGGAAGAGAGACAGCGACTTGAGAAGCAGAGACTAAGAGGAGGAAAGAATGGCCAGGATTCAAGCTGGGGTAAGGATTATAAATGGCTCAATAAATGGCTCTGGCTTGCTTGCTTCACCTTATGAAGATTATTTAATACTATTTCTAGTTTATGTTCTGAGCTTCAAATAAAACACTTTTTACGGTTTAAAACAAGAAATATATTAGTTAACTTATTTAAATTGTTTTAAATATTTTTCGACGTTTTGAATGTTTGGCCGCAGCTATGGTGAAATTAAATTAAAATATGTTTGTTAGTTAGTTCTACAAGGACCCAGTGAGTTTCGCCAAATACCAACTACGAAGGGACAGATTGCACTAGCGTAGTAGTTTATATATCGGAGACACTTTCCATCTTTAGTCTTCCCGTGACCACGACTTTTTCAAAGCATCCAAATCAAAAGAAACGTCGGGCCGTAGTTAAACAAATTTAATAATTCGTTTACTTATATCCAGTTGCCAGCTGATCCAGAACCTGAGGAAACTGGGGAAGAAGTTGAGGGAGAGGAAACGGAGAAAGTAGAAGACGAAGCAGAAGTAGTAAATAGGCTTTTCATATATCGGTAGTAAGAATAGGGTGAAATTTCTTCGCATTTTGGCAACTTGAATTGAAAATTTGATTAACGTAACCTAACCAGTGGTGTTTTGAAAAAATCAGTTTTCAATTAAAGCGCTAAATTTGTCCAATAACGTGTTTTTTATGATGACGAGGATAAACACGCCACTAGTGATGTGTACTTGATGGTAGGTGACGAAGGACCGCCATATACTTCTACAAATCCAACATTTTTCTAAAAATATAATTTCAAAACATGACAATCAGTGAGGATTGTACACGACCCGTTGATTATGTATGTTATGAGGTGTTATTTTATTTAGGGAGAAGAGGGTCTAGTGGTGGAGGATGAAGAAGAGTTTCATTCAGATGTGTCAGTAGATGGAGAAGATTATATTCCCCCAGGGGGACTGTTTGTGCCAGGACTCTACTCCCCACCAAACGATTTGGCTAAAGCAAATGCTTTAGCTTACTTTTATCCGAAGGCACGTAAATGTTACTTTGAATATTATATTTGTAATCATCAAGTATTGATTTGAAAAGTGTATTTTACTTGATAAATTGTTTTAGATAAGAGTATATCCACTCAATTCCGTGGTTTGAATAAATTTCCTATGTCATGTTAAATCATATAGTAAAAAAAAAAAAAAAAAAAAAAAAAAAAAAAAAAAAAGTAATGTAACATTTTTAAACGGTTGGAAACGGGAATTATATATTAACATATTCTACAACATTTTAATTTTACTATGGCTTGTCGGCGTTTATGATGCTTTGTAGCGGCCGCGGTCACGGGGCTTATTTGAATAGTAATACTTAGTTTAAATTTTTTTTATGAAAAAAAAACTGCATTTTTTGGATACGTTTTTAGTATAGCGGAGGACAGACAAGGATTCACTTGATGAGAGGTGACATACCCCAGACTTTGGATTTGGATATTCGGATGGTGTTTTCTTATTTTTGGGAATCAAAGGGAACACAGAACATCATCAGTCGAGTCACAGGCACGTTTGAACAGAATTGCTCGTAAAATCACTGTTATGGTACAGATTGTGTCGGAGCAAGCGCCTATCGAATCGGAGCACCTCCCTCCGCACGTGCTAGTGATGTTCGCCATCGACAAGAGGCAGGACGTAAAGGAAGTTATGGAGCAGTTCCCCGATGAAATAATCAACGTGAGTTTTATGATATTTTATTTAAAATGATGTTAGGTCAACGAACATAGAAATGTGGCTGTCCAATGCCTGATAATTTAGAAATTTGAAGTTTTCTTTTCAAAGTTATTATTTCAAACTTGACGTTTATAAAGTCAAACACACAATTTACATGAAATCGTGATTTTCTCACAAGGTTATATTAAAACACTTTGAGATATGTCAAAGTGTGTATATCTCAAATTCTAGCAAAATCCTAAAAAGTAATTACGTAAATAGACAAATAAAACACTTTAACGGTTTAAAACGCAATATATTAGTTAAACTTATTTGAAAATGAGTTTTAACTTCGGCCCGACGTTTCCAACCAACTTCGACGGAACAGATGGCGCTAGCGTAGCAATTTTTTAATTTGACGTCAGAGACATCCTCCATCTTTAGTCTCCCCGTGACCACGGCTGCTGCAAACCATCCGAAACCTCGGGCCGAAGTTAAAAATCATTTTCAAATAAGTTTACTAATATATTTTTTGTGGCATCAACTTCACTGTATCACTGAGTCTGTGGTTTGAAATCGGCCATATTTGTAGTGGTCTTCTCAAGTTAGAAAAATACAGTATACACTGTAATATTTGTTCACAGTACGGAATATTTGTTGGCGATGATCCGTTCTCTGCAGAGCATCTTGCCTACACAGTCAAACAGTATGATAAGATGACGAGGTTGCGGAAACAGTGAGTGTTCTTTCTATGTAATATTTGGCATTGGATGACATAGGCAGTAATTGAAGATACGACCAGTTAGTGTTTTATAAAGCATTTATTATACTAGCTGTGCCAGCGACTTCGCGTAGAAAAGTTATTTTGGACATCATACTAGTTGTTACCTACGACGTCGTCCGCGTCCCGGCGTTTTTGCGAGTTAATCTTAACAATTGACATATATACTTTCGTGAACCATATATTTAGATCATTGAAAGAGGATTCATTATTTCATACATATGGGGTATCTGAACTATTTTGTTTCGCACGCAACGGAAACTACCAAAAAAAAAAAAATTTTTTTTTTTTTTTTTACATCTCCTAATGTTATCCTGTTTAAACAAACTCTTTATAATATAAATATAGATTGAAGTTATGTTTCCTTCACAGTAAAGATCGTCTAGCAGTAATGGTGTCTCGTAAGCGCAGTCTGCCGTTGCTCCAACTGGCTGGTTTAAACCCGTGCTACATCAGCTCCGATGTGAGTTCTGGTGAACGAGAATGCCTCTCCATGTTCCCGGTGGGCTATGGAGACGATTACTTCGAAGAGGAGAGCGTTAAGGAGGAGGAGGAAGGGGTAAGTTTGGATATAATCAAGAAATACAGCTAACTTTACTTTTTACAATATGCGCTATGAAATAGCAGAACAAAAACAAAAAATATAATTAAAATAATGGTTTGGTATAAATTAAAAAAAAACGACACGGGCAGGTTTTGAACCGGCATCCAAAACGTTCCGTGCTGTTGCTTTAATCAATAATTGAGCTACCGTGTCACCGTCGGTTAGAGTCCTGCCCGTGTCAATTGAAAAAAATATATAATCGATTTTTCATTTATATAGTGCCATTAAAGTTTTTAATGGTTTTGTCTGTTAAGCCAGTTAAACTGTCATTTCTTTTAGGAGGTGGTAGCTGTTACAGAGGTGGTCGAAACGGCCGAAGTAAGTTATTTTTAGTATAATAATTTTAAGGGTTTTTGGGTGAATGTTTGTTTAAACTCGGTAATTTTTTCCAGCCCGATGTAGCCGAAGAGGCGAAAGGAGACGAGGATGATGAAGATGAAGAGGACTAATCAATTACATAGATTTATTATCATTTTGTTTTGGTTCAACCTATTACTATCCCACTGCTGGGCTCAAGTCTGAGTAATAAGACACAATGATCTCCGTATGGGTGAAGGACTTTCAAACAAATTAATATACTCATGTTGCAAAAACGCAATTTCGAACATTTTTTAAATTAAATATAACTGTATAAATTATTTAAAATTATTTGGCAGCCACGGCGGGGAGCGTGGTAAACCACGGGGCGTCTGTATGAATACGTATTTTAAATAAGTTTAACTAATATATTTCACGTTTAAAACCGTTAAAATGTTTTATTTAAATTTGTATTCGCGTAAACTACAGACAGTACATTTTTCCAAGTTGCGTTATGCATCTCTGGTCAAGAGGTTTGTTGTTTGCTAATAAAAAAAATAATACTCGTTTGCATGTCATTATAATTTATTATATATTTTTTCACATATACAAAGAATATAGTCATGTTTTATATTTTGGTTGCATTAAAACAAGCCAACAAAATTAAGATGATTTGATGTTCATACTTATAACGAAAAGTCTATTCACAATTGCAATAATGCCATGGCTTGTTACCTGTCACTAGGGATTGTCAGATGCAAAATATCCATGCAGCATGTCCACGAAATCCACCCCCTCTTTGTCGCATGGCGACTCTGGGACGCTGGCACACGCCCGCAAACAGCTGGCTTTGTATCCGAAGTTATTGTCGTTGCCCCCACAACCGCTGTATAGGAACTGATGGCATCTTTGGGTTGCTGGATTGAAGCCCCATCTGTGAACAACTATCATGATTGAAATGAAACCCTTTTGACTGTTTAAAACGCGCAATATATAACTGGTGGCCACCGTGATCGGGGTACCAATTAGTTTAAAGGTCTCAATTATTCAGAACGTTAAACGAGTCGCCTAACATGGCTTGCGCAGATTTTCAGGTTAAAATGACACCTTCAAGCTCCTACGCGCCAACGGAGGAAAGTACTAACCTAATCATAGTGTCGTTACAATTGCCCTTAGCTGGAAACTGGAAGCAGAAGTCTGGACGGCCGTAGTTGTTCGGAGCGTAGGCCCAAGGCGGAGGAGGTACACCGACCATGCCCTCTCCATATGCTACACGTATGAGAATGAGGTCTGTAGTAGTAACATGTAATATAGTCTTTTTGCAATTAAAACGAGAAATTAATGTATTTGTCACCACGACCCGTGTATCGGATGTTTTGTCTGTTGGGGGGAGGGGGGTGACCTTGTTATTTATTTACGAGTTTTTTTTAATAAAACACTTTAATGATTTTAAACGCGATATATATTAGTTAAACTTATTTGAAAATAATTTTTAACTTCTCCGGCCCGACGTTTCGGCGTAGCAATTTTTACTTTGACGTCGGAGACATCCACCATCTTTAGTCTCCCCGTGATCACGGCAGCCGCAAAGCATCCGAAACGTCGGGCCGAAGTTAAAAATAATTTTCATATAAGTTTCACTAATATATATCGCGTTTTAAACCGTTAAGTGTTTTATTTACATGTGTACTACTCGCATAAACTACAGACAGTGTTTAATTACACGTTTTAATCTGTCATAAAGGTTTGTATTTAATCTAATAATCGTTGTTTTTTTCGACATTCAATCGTTTCCCTCTTTAATAATCCAACATTCTACAGATTATCAAACACTAAAAGCTCTCTGTGTCTAGACAATGTCATGTCTTTATCTATGCCCTTACCATCCCATTCACTTGGAAACCCCTCATTAGCCTTAGCAGAAGACTCATCCCAGCCTTCCACTTGCTGCGTCATATTTTTGTACAGCGCGATCCACTCCAGCATACTTTTGTTGTCGTCGTCGGGTACCCACGCATCCCATTGGCTCATGTTCCACAGAAATCTCTGGTCTCTTATCAGTTCTTCCTCATCAATAGTGGAACCGCAAGCGCAGACGTGCACAACAAAGTTGAGAACAATGAGCGCGATCATTCTGTATGAAGTGTGTAAAATTCAAATTAAAAATTCACAATTACTCGTTGTTAATTTCCAAGGCCTAATTGAAAAATTAATTTCGACTTTTCTGACCGACTTCAAAAAAGGTTTCTCGGTTCGGTAAATATTCTGATTTATGTCTGGGGATAACTTTGTCATTTATAATCGATATTGATGATTATTTTTTGTTGGAAAGATGGTTCAAAGGTGATAAGTTAGAATTTGGTGATGACAGACCCGAGACGGTGTGGGGAACACTTTTGGGACGTCATTATCATTGTCATACGAGTATTTTGAACCAGTACAATTTAGTGAAGCTTGGAGTAGATCTGGAGATGAAGCCGAGGGAACTCCTCAACGAGATTACCAGCAGGTATCCGGCGTTTGAGCTTGATTAATTGTAATAACGTTTCAGTCAGGTCTGTCAGAGTCTCTCAGGAATGACTACGAATGGCTGTGTTCACATCTCGGGGAATTAAAGCAGTAAGTGTTTGAAAATATATTTATTAAGAAACTAAATTTACAGTCGTCCTACAGACATTAGACGTGGTAACTACTATTACACAAACATTAACAGTCTTTTATCAATCACACTTCACCCTCGTTTACATTATGAAAACGTTATGGCAGAGATAACCAACCTTTGCTATAGATTTCTTCTACAAAAATTTATAGAAAAGTTTTTAAACAGGCCAGGTCAATGACTGCGTTCACTAACTCACTTTTTTCGAGGCATTTTTACGACAACCTATTTTAATCAAATGAAATCAAAAATATATCCTTCATTCTTCTTTACACTTGCAATAGAATCTAAAACTAATATTGTTATGGAAAAAAATCTATGATTTTTCATCTCGCTAATGCAAGCATTGTTCATTTTAAGTTATTATTAAAAGAACTTTCCCGTTGGAAACTCTTATTGTATAACAAAAATAAATTCTACTCTACGATTATATACAGTTCATATTATGGAAGATTATAAGGCATTTGGAATGACACCAGAAATATATGGCGGATTAATTTTATGTTTGGAGTTAGTATTCTGTTGCAGTCGACATTACGGTAAGAAATGCATTTGGGTATGAGGCCACAAGATGTCGCCCTTGAAAGTAAGTAAGTAGAATATTTAATATGTACATGTTATATTTTAGATAGTTTCATGGCCAAAATCAATAACAAAAGAACCTCCAAATTCAGCTGTTTAGATCGGTGTAAATAATTTTCTATGCTTTTGTGGCAAACATTTAGGAATTCTTTGATCTGTCTCGTTTAGACAAATGTCTTTTGGTCAATACTTTAGTTTTCGATTTCAGCCAGTCATAACAGGTGCCGCAGATAACTAATAATTTCTTTTGACATATCGACTACAAGAGAATTATACCCAACTAACAAATTTCAACAAATCATTTCAAATTTCAACTTAGAGTAAAATTAGTTTAATCTCTTGTGCTAATTAACCTAAAATGTTTTACATGTATAAGAGCACACTTTCACAGCTTTGATATTATATTTTATAATGCTATTATATTTTAATGTCGAAAAGGTACATTTTATTGCGTTGTTTATACTATTATACAAGAGGAACGGTTAAATTGCCTTACTAATAAACGCTTTTAAGAAAATAATTATTCATGTTTTTTTTAACTGGAGCAAAGACAACAAATATGGTTGAATTACAACCATAGAGATCTAGTGATGACTTTTTATATCGTGTAGTAGATGCCACAAATGATACAGGTAAAGAAACATCGATTTTATATAGGCCAAACGAACTCACTATTCAAAATCACTTTACATGGGGGCGCTTTTTTATATCTTACGTTATTCATATTTACTGGACTGTTCAATCGTTTTGCAACAGCGGGAAATCTTACTTCTATTGTCGTTGACTTTGCTTACATCCCATCCCTACGTAAATGTCAAACGTACGTGATTTAACGTCCGTAAATTAATTTAGCATCAAATTGTGTGCTTGTTTACTAAAAATATCAAGTTAGAAAAAATACACTATACAATTCTCGTCTTTGTCACATGAATATAATTTAGATCGAGACAGAGATATATCTATGCAAAGTCACTAAGATAAGATCGTATTTTATATTAATATGTTTATTTTGGATTTCGATCCCTAATACACGCCAATCATTTACATTTTATATACCAACGAAATAGACTAGGTTTTACCGGGTTAAACATTAATTTAAAAAATATCATAGTCATTTATAAACCAAAATATTATTATATACTAGTTTTGTTGGTAATCTAAAGCCGTCCATATCGTTTTACGGAATGTACTTTTGATCAAAAACAAACTACATTTAGGAAATAATTAACGATATTAAAACTATTCATTTTGGCGGGAAAAACATCGTTAAAAGTCGTCCAAGCAGAAGTCGAAGTGGTCCTCCATCACTTTGTACTGCTCGCTCTGGAACATGCATTTCGGGCATGTGTAGACCTAGAAAGAGATAGATATATTACACTCAGTATCCATTAGAAAAAATAACTCTTTTATTATGACACTTTATAGCACAACTTTGTAAGGCAGTAAACGAGAGAAAAATGTTAATACCAATTGAGAAAAACCTTACTTTTTTTGTAATTCATTCATTTATTTATACAACTAAGTCAGTACAGTCATAAATACAATACTCAACAATCAAACGCCTAAACCATGCATTTTTACTAAACATTAACGTTTAAAATGCGAAATTATTAGTTTTTAATACGACCAAACGTTTTTGATCTTTTGCAGTAGGCAGTGCTTTCAAACGCATATCGTTTAAAACATAATATATTTGGAGTTTTAAACCGTCAAGATGTTTTATTTCAATCTGCACTTGCAAACACAACTTAATTTTGGTTAAAATCAACACTATTAATGTTTTACGTGTCCCAAATCGTTTATTATTTGTTAGTTGGTCATTTGGAAGCTAGAAGAAAGATCATTTTGCAGTCCACACATTCAACTATAATATTGATCTTACCCATTGCGCTAAAGGTTTCATTTTGGAGAAATTATTAAAAAAATAATCATCAATAATTTAATAACAAACAATAGTAATCTCTAATAGTATAAAACAAAATAATTTAACGTAAAACATAAATATCTTTATATATTTTGAAAATCTAACTCGAACCCACGACCAAACAGAGTTCCGTGCTGATGTGCCTTATTTAATTAAGCTAATTAATGCTCAATTAGCAAAGCGGAAGAACAGCAGCACAGTACTTTGAGGTCTGGGTTTGAATCCCGTCCGTGTAAATTTTAACTAAAATAAAATATCCATTTTAAAACAATAAATACATGAAAATGCAAGTATGTATTTAGTAAATAAGTCTAACAACTAAAACTAAACTAATATTTCACGTTTCTTAACATTAAAGGAGTTCAAATAAAACCCTTTCAGCGGTATAAAACGCGAAATATAATACTTATATTACCTAATCCTAAAGATTAACTAATAGTCTCGAGTTTTAAACCGTGTAAAAGTGTGTTCAAATGCGAAAAGTCACATAGCACTTGACAAGTTATTCCCAGTTATGTCATTTTTTTTCTAGCCCCTTCGCGTATGTTATAATAAGCAAGAATCGACGTGTTGCTGCAAAAATATAAGACTCTTGAAGGGCTTGTCGCACACCGGGCAATCGTAACGCAGCGGCGGCGGAGTCGTCTCGTGTACGCCGTTCCTTTCCTCCTTGACGACTTTCTTCTTTTTTCTTACCTTCTCCGCCGTGAATAAGAACAATTACGTCAGCAAAGCTTACATGACAGGTACATGTTTCTAAGTAACATAGTTTTTATAACAGGCGAACAGACCAGCGTAAAGTTCATTTAAATACACCGGCGATATAACATTTAAACAACATGTGCTGTCGTCTTATGGTCGCGAGACGAACGAAATTGATTTGACCACCCATTTAATATCAAGAATCTCCAGACAAAGTCTAACTCCGGGATACGAACACGGGACTTCTCGTGCTTAACGCAAAACTGAAGATATTATAGATATACAAGTTAATAAAAAATTTGTTTTCTACCGTATAATAAGTATAGTAACTTACCATATTTCCAGAAGTAGTGACCGAGGTGGTATTAGGAGTTGTGCTGGAACTCGCAGCTGTTGCTGCACCAGCTTGAGCTTTTGAAACAGCCGTTTTATATATACTGGGACTAGCTTTACGTACTTCTTCTAGCTGTAAACATTTACAGCAAGAGTCAGTCATTTCTTTTATGTATGTTGTTTGTATATATGACGGGTCACTTTTATTTATTATCTATAATAAAGTGTCCGTCGTGAACCGCTAGAGGTATTCCAAACGTAGGAGCACAGTTAGAAAATCATTAATTTCGTCTTTAAGCCATCAAAACCCTGCTGCTGTTGAGCTACCGTAACCAAATTGAGCTACCATGTCTAATTCCAAAGTAAGCATATACAAAATATATAATTTGTAATAGTCCAAATAATTAAAATTCAAAACTTTTTATTGCCTTTTCAACACATTTATAGTGAACTTATAATTGAAAAATCGATTATAAATAGATCAAAATGGCAATCGGTACCAACTGTGCTGCTGAATATCACACTCAGCAGCGCTGGTTTTCCGACTGGCCCGCGTGAAAGGAGAGTGAAGTTTATAAGATTAATTTAAATGCAAGTCTAAAATTGATAGAAAAACTATAACATACAGATAATGGGTTTCCATTAATATGCTTGGGGGGGGGTTAATATTCAGAAAATTTTAAATTCTTTGTAGGTCTAAAATAAGTTGTTGGAAGGGGGGGGGGGGGGGGTGGGGGTGGTCTTAAACCTCACTACGTATCACCAATGGGGGGGGGGGGTTTAAAAAAAAAAAGGTCACGTGATTAATGGACAACCCCTTCGTATTTTATCGTTATTGGGCCGAGTTAGATCGAGAGACATCAGCATATATTTTCAAATCTTCATACCTGTCTAGTCAGCTCTTGGAGCTTCTTCTGCGCCACGCGAAGATCTGTCGCTGTTGACTCTTTTTCGCTCGCCATCTCTGCGCGCGACTTACGCTCCGCTTCGAAGTCACTCCTGTAATATATCATATGTAACCGTCGGTCGCGGTTATGATAACTTAGCGGCAGTGGTTATTAAAACCCAAGTGGTATTTAATCAACGGGCCGTGGGTTCGGTCCCCACCGGGTCCAACATTTCTCTAATCAACTGATAATTTTTCTAAAACATGTTGGACTTCGCCTGTATGGTAGGAATGGGTAGGAAATTAGGAACATCGAAGTTCCGTCCGAGTCACCAACTATCGTACATAGATGAAACGCCGTGAAGTTTAACCATGTTTCGGTTTTAGTCTGTGGATTTCCAAATATCCAAAGTCAAGATAGGCCGACAACGCATTGGAACGGCACGCAAGTTTTAAACTCTTAAATCCTATACTGTCTATAGTTTACGCGAGTAGTACACATTTAAATAAAACACTTTAACGGCTTAAAACGCGATATATTAGTTACACTTATTTGAAAATGTTTTTTAACTTCGGCCCGACGTTTCGGATGCTTTGCAGCAGCCGTGTTTCCCCGTGACCACGCGTGTGTGTGTGTAATATATCGCGTTTAAACCGTTAAAGTGTTTTATTTGAATCTCTTAATTCCTTTGTCCTATAAATAGTTGGGTTGATAATATGTTCATTATGGTCACAAGTTAATTTGTATCGTTCTTTCATTTAATACAAATTATATTTGGCTATTCGCGTTCCAAACTTACTTGTACAACTCCACTTGTGCTTTGAGCAGTTCACAGTCCTCCTTTTGTCCGCTGAGAATCGCAATTTGGTTTTCCAGGGCCTGGATCTGTTCACCTCTCGCCACTAGTGCAGCAGTCAATTGTTCGATATTGGGCGGAGTCTGGGGAAAATTGGAAAAATAACTTACACTAGGCGAACATAAATCTAAGAGAATATAAGTTTTTGAGTTTATATCGACGGGCTTAGTTCAATGCTAGCAAGGTATGGCAGGTCGACCGGTCGTTAATTCGATTCCAACTAGGAGTATACATAGGTATAGGTTCGTTTCTGAAACATTTTAGACTTTGCCTGGAAGGTCAGGGTATCAAAGAGATGACGAAAGATGTCTAATATCGTTTGTAAGACAAAATAGGTCGATAACGCATATTGTTTAAATGTTATATGGCTGGGGAATATTGGCCTTTTATTGAGTGAGTACTTATGTCTTAAGGTACTTACGTCTTCCCGTTTCGTTATCGTCTTCTTCAATACCTCATTGTAGTCTTTAAAGATGCCTTCGAATAACGTTAGCGTACTTTTTAATTGCGCACTGAAATTAAATTATTACTATTTAATAATAATAATAAAAAACTTTTTCAGTTTCAATAATTTCGGTAGCTCAATAGTCGAGCAACAGCACGGAACGCTGACGATGCCGGTTCAAGTCCTGCCCGAGTCGAAATATTCTTCGATTTTTTAATTATAGTGCCTTCATGCGACATGTGAATAATATTTAAATCTTTTTCACGTCTCAAATCAACACACTATATTTAAAAAAATATTTTTGTTTTAGATCATTTATCAAGAAAGGTTTTAGGCTATAAAACATTACGATGCGACCCATAGGAGCCAAGAAATAGTGGAAAATAATTGGTAAATATATCTTTGACGGTTTAAAACCGTTAATATACCCAAAAAATATGTATGCAAGAATGATTCCTCTTTAAAGGATCTAAAAAAAAGTCCGCGTCACTATATGTCTCTATCTTTTGAGATTCACTCGCAATAACGACGAGAGACGACTGACCTCGTGCGCCGTGCGAGGTTTGTAAACAAATTTTGATGGCCAAAATTCCTCGCAGACGCAGGTCGCTGACGCAGCTATAAGATACATTTCGACTCACATATTACTAAGCACAGTGCTGTGCTGCTTCAAAATCATTTGTTTGATTTCGCTGAGACCCGCCTTGACTTTGTCCATCGACGCCCGTTCCTGTTTTACATCTTGTACGCTAGATAGAACCGCCATTGCTTGCACAACCGTGTCTGTTAATCTGAAACATACAAACATACATCTTTTAATAGAGCCTAGACAAAAGCAACGTAAGTTTAATGACAGGTGAAGTAACCGAGCCATGTAACATCTAAACACGATGCGCTGTCGGCCTATTTTGAATTCGGAAATCGTTGCGTTGAATCACGTTTTATAATTTAAATTTTTTTGTATGTTCGACCTGTGGTGCGTGACATGGACAGAACGGTGGGTGTCCTTCATGTCAAAGTAAAGCGTAACAGATGACTTGTAAATATGTATTATACATTACCCGTTTCACGCGTTAAGTTTTTTAATACTTTTATAGTAATTTTTAGTGATAACATATAGCGTCTGTTCGATTATCATTTTGAAAAACGCGAGTAGATTTTAGCATGTACTACTCCCGCCGTGAGAGCTACCTGAGGTGCTAGGGTAGTTTGAGAACCGACGCACGCGCTGACTCGAAATATTAGATTTGTATAACAATTGCAAAACGATTAATATTTATTTAGTGTCTATGACATTGATAAAAATCTGTCTGACATGTACTGGACAATGGCCGTTGCATAGGATTAGTGTTAAATACTGTCTATATTTTACGCGAGTGAGTTTACGTTGTAAATTCAACCACTTTACACGGTTTAAAACGCGATATCTTCCTTCAGCTTATTGGTAACATGAATAACATCGGACCAGACGGGATTTCGGATGCTTTGCAGCAGCCGTGGCTCCCCGTGAGTACGGTGAAACGTCGGGCACTAAGCTAATATATTATTGTCCGAATAACACCAACTAATATATCGCGTGTTAACCGTGTCTGGAGCGTTTTATTTAAGGCAAGGTTAGTGTTGTTTTTGCTTGTACTCAGTGTAGCGGTGATCGAATTATTCATAATCCTTATATTTTAATACTCTATGCAGTCCACTAAACATCGACCAACGTCTAAAACACATTATCTGTTTATGATATGACGCTATCTCTTCCTAACTGCGTAATGGAGACCGAGAACAAATATATAGCTCACCCACTAGTCAGCGTGTTGAGGTATTCCGACAAATGCTTCAAGGTGCGATCGTAGAGCTTCACATTATTCAGGTAGCCCCCGTAGTGGGGCGAAGTCTCCGACTCGCAGCTCATGGTCATGTGTACAGGTTGGAATACCTGGAATGTAAAAAAAATTGCTCTAATTTAAGGCTGCTAGAGGGAGAGTGGCCTAATAACAAAAACATGATTTTCCATTAGGAGAAAATAAAGAAAAATAACTGAGGCGAAAATAAATTCGTAGTATTATTTCTGTAACTGAGTATTGAGTTTATTTTATTAAAAAAAGTTTAAAATCGTTTTAAACAAAAACTTGAAAGTGCTTTATTTACATCTGTCACGTGTCTAAAGCCTCCGAGACAAAATCCCGGAACTTAGCCCGGTAAAAATAATACGTACAGTCGTTTGAACCTCTTTGAGCCTCGTACTCAGCTCTTGTATCTGATCCTTGTAAGACTTGACTGTTTCAGAAACGCCGGATTTGTACTGCGCAAATTCAAGCTGAAATAACATATAAGATTATAAACGACTAAAACGGATGCGCTGTCAGCCTATTACTGTATATATGAACACTTGTTGACAATCCAAAACATCAGATCGTAGTGTCACATATTTTTTATCTTTCAAAATGAAATACATTTTTACTGGGTCTTCGGTGTAGTGGTTATGATTGTGAGTTTGATTCCCACTCATGTCTAACGTAGTTTAAAAACTAATGTATGTATATATTTTCTTCGACAGACAGGGAATGTGGCCATTCAATGGGCAACAATATCGAAATTCCGTCTCTGTTTAAAAAAAGCGTTTCAAATCTACATTTCCATTTCGGTCATTCGATTTTAATTTCCAGAGCCAAAATGGGCCGACAGCGCATCTTGTTATGTGGGTTATTAACATTCTATCAAATGAACTCCGTGCTTGTCTATCCTCTTATAACGTCACAAAAATTATATAGAAATTTTGATATTAAAATATTTATATTGTACACCTTGACGTTCTCCGAATCCAAGATCTTCATTTGCGCCGTCTTCAAATCGTTCTGCAGTGACATCACCTTAGCTTCCAAATGCTTTATATTCGCGTCTCTCCTCTGTATTTCTTCACCATTCATATTCTGCAAAGTTCAAACGTGTTATGACTCATAGTCTTATGAGATGGTTCGATCCGTTACGTAACGCGTTACACCGACAGTTTGCCTGGCTGCACGTACACTTATGTATACGGTAGCGATAGACAAACTGTGTAATATTAAACAATTTAAATTTATTTAACGATATGAGATAGGAGATCTCAGGTGCACATGTATTTTTTGTTTCAAAACAAACAAAACAACAAATAAATAACCATAAACAATAATAACAAATAATTGAGGAGCTGTTTAAATAAATATTTGGATAACATAATTTTCACGTTTAAGTGAAATTTAGTACTTACGTAGTTTTTTCTAAGTTGTTAAAATTTTACCTCAATGTGAGGACATAAATATAAATGCCTAAATTTAACATACATATCTCTTTAAAATATTTTTTATTATTCTGTTAAATATTGAAGTGGCTGTGTATATAACAAGATTCATACCGTAGAGAGAGACTTCATTTTCTGTCTTAGTTCATCTATTGTACCGTGCATCAACTTTATCTCTTCAACGTGATTGTGTTCTTTACTTGATAACAACAACTAAAAAAATAAACAAAAAAATTTACATATATATACAGAGAGAAGCCGGGAGCTATGAATTTTGAAGGGCCACAGAGTCAGTTTCATTGACTTTTGATGACCATCGGGTTCAATAACCTCCGCAAAGGAGAACTGGGGGAACTGGTGTGGTTAGAAGGTAGTGTGGACTGATCACCTGGCGTTTTATCGGTGTCCCCAATAGAAAATAAAAAACAAAGCAGTTACAGATGTACTTACAAAATGTATTTGACAGAATATAATTATATGCACTCAAAGGAAAGATCCTAAAAACTAGAATACCAAACGTAATCATAAATAAACTCATTAAACACGGAGGCGCTCTGTTTGGGTAGTGTAGAATAATATTTGTGTTAGATATTATGTTACATTATTTTAAGTTAACGAGTGGCCCGTGACATAATACCTTCATGCTTTTATGTTACTGAAAAATGATAGTACAAATAAAATAATAAAAAAAATTGTGCTCTATAGCTACAGACACTAAATAAAGGAAAAAAAAGATAACTATGAATTGCTTGTTAGAAAATTTTCAAATTTTATTGTTACAAGTCTGGCTAAGACTTTATTAAAAGAATAAAAAATCAGTTTGTCATCAAATAGTTTAGGATTTTTTGATGTTTTAATTGCTCAAATTTACCTCAAGACTTTTCAGTTTGTCCTTGGCATCGTCCCGCTCTTTAGTTGTCGCGTCCACAATGTGTTCCAGGGATTCCTTTTGCCAGGTTAACTTCTCATTGTCCACTATCACCTTAAAGTAGAAATGTTTTTTTTCGGAATAATGTCTAGTCAAAATTTCACCATCACTCTTCACCTGTAGAATAGTCTACGAGTACTTTACAAAAACTCTGAAGTTCTGGGGGTAAATTGTTTTGATGGGGCATGGAGACATGATGGACCCGATAATGGTCTATTACCAAGGTATGACTATTATCTATAAAGTCATGCCTTTAAAAAAAAACACGTGGTGTCCCTTGTATATCTCCTACTACTCACCTGTCTTCTCTGTTTCTCAACCAGTTCCAACTGTGCCGTAAGTTTATTGATAGTGTCATCATCTGGTGACGTTACAAACTCCACAGTAGATGATGGTGCTGACTTGACTTTGCCATTTGTCAGAGATTCAATTGTGCAGGTCAGGTGTACTATATTCTCTTTTAGTTCTTTATTCTGTTGCCGTAACTATGAAAAAATTTATAATAAGTGATGTATTATAAAAATTGATTCTCATCGCACTTTGGAACAGCGTCTTGGATTTTTTAATAAATAACATCATCTTTATCTCAGTTTCAACAGTAAAGCTCAAAAATGTGATACATAACTTGAAAATTTATGACAGTTTTCCTGTTATTCACATATTCAAAACAGAAGAATGACCGCAATACCTTTTCAACTAGTCCTTTGGTCTCGTCAAATTTTTCCTTGTGTATCTTATGGGTCCGTAACATATCCTCTTGGCAAGATGCTATGAGGGAGAACTGCTCCTTCATGGAGTCATTATTCTGTTTAAGCGTTTCCTTTAGCACCACATTCTCATCAAGCAGTTCCCCAAAGCGTTTCTGAAGCTCTTCCGTGCTTCTATCATCTGTTATAAGTGTGCTGGCAACCATCATACTGGCTGGTGAGGGCTAAAAAAAATCCAAATAGTTCTATGTGGATAAAATAATACATACATTGTACACATAAATATGTAATTTTATGTGTTATGATAATATATCATAATGGTCAATAAACAAGTGACAGAGAGGTAAAGTCCTTTTAATATATATTTTATCTATATTACAGTTTCAAGATTTAAATGTTACTTCAAACAACAGTGGTTGTCACCACATTATTTATATTATAAAAATAAAAAAACAACATTATGCAGGCAGTTAACCAATTATATTTATTTGAGTGTTCTAAATTACTACTTGGTTATGTATTAAACTCTTAGAGCATCAACTAATATTGTCCTAATTATATATTCCTCGAGTAAATTAAACTGGCGTATAATGTGCCATTGTTTGAATAAACTTGAGAAATAATGATAATTTTAGTACTCATTGTTATCACAAAATTTTCTAGATTTTTTTGGAATAAGGTCAGTAAATTAATGGGAAAAAAAATCAAGAACTAATACTTACACTATCTCCAAGTTGGAATTGTGCTTTAAACGCCATCGTAGCATCATTAGGTAGGTCTTTTATCGCGTCTTCCAAAATTGGCCCATTTAAAGCTTTCTCCATTCCATTGCACTTAGCATCTAGACTCTCACTAGGGGATGACCCCAGAATCATTATAAATGAATCATCGTCATTGTCCGCTTGTAGAGACATATTTCATAGCAATTTACACCCTGAAGTCACATTAAGTTAATGAAATGTAAGTAAATTGTAAAAATGAATGTCAAAACATAACTAATTGGAAATTTCTTAAGTAATCAAGGCCACTTAAACGCGGACGACTGGTGTAAATTGCATAGTTTATTTGTTCAGGCCGATATCAATTGTGCTTAAATTTCATGTTACTGGAAATCCAATAGTCGAAATCACTTGAAAATGTAACATTTACCTACTCACCACAACATATGATTATTAACTTTACAATAAGAATTAACGTCAATAATCTAAATTATTGTATCATAAAGCATTGAACTAAATTTATCGAGAACTATTTTCGCTATAATTTATAAATTCGTAAATCGCAATCTATTTTTATATTTATTTATCATTTTTTATTTTGACAGTTAACGAGATAATACAGACGTGTACGTTTCCACCTGTCACCAGAAGTATCTGTGTTTGTTTTATCTATATTCAAACTTTGTGTATGTCAAAACGGAAAATGAAATAAAAAGTCATCATCATATCTCAAGTCACAACCAGTGTATGTGGTAAATTTTAGTTGTCAAAAAAGTTACTGTCTGGTGGATGTGTACTACGTTCTGTGATAATTTTCCATTAAGAAAATGTCTAATGAAAATGCTTTAGATTTAAAACACGTACACGAATGTTTTCAGAAGTGTTTGCAAGATGTCGACGATGTGATTATAGAGGCGTATATCGACGGTTACAATGAATTAGTAAAGTAAGTTGCGTTCAGTCTGTTTCAACATTACTTATGTATTGTTACTTACCCATATGTTTCGTCTTTTGACATAAATTGTTTTGTCCAGGTTCCTAAACCTCATCGGAACAGTATTTTCATTTGTGAGCAGCGATGTGAAAAGCAAAATCAAAATTATGGAGAAGCTTAGGGACGGTGAAGATGCCATATATTACGAGTCCTTTAAAAAAATGATGAAGTATGAAAAAGAGACAAACTTGCATGAAAAGAATGGTTTCGTATCTGGTTCAAGAACAATGTTGCGTTTACATCGAGGCTTAGGTATGTAGGCTTTTTCCTTGTATGAAATTGTAAGATTTGAGAAAAAAATATATGTGCAATGAATATTTTAAGCATGTCATATTCCTGTTTTATCAATTATTGAAGTAATTAATTTACACTCTAAACTAATTAAGGATTAACATTCATTATAACTCTACTTGCAGATTTCATCAGATTGTTTTTAAAGAGAATAAGTGAAGCAGATGAGGCTATGAACACATGTACAACATGCCAGGGTTCCTACAATGAAACCCTGGCTGAGTTTCATCCGTGGTATATTAGAAAAGCTGCAACTCTTGCCATGCACGCATTGCCATCCCGACCAGATCTACTAAAAAAGGTATGTAGCTAATATTTGCTAATTGTTTTTGTGTGATTGTAAAAAATCATGTTCTATTCTGAATGGTTGAGTTGCTATTTATCAATCCGCATGATCACTTTTATCTAAGCAAGTAGTCTATTTGAAACAGTTATATGTTTGCTTAGGATTCAATGTATCTTACTCTCATTGGTTCTTCTGATGAAGAATAAATATTATGTGTAAGGGTTAAAATCTTGTCTATTAAGTAACGTGTTAGTAAAATAGGTAAAAAAAATGTCATCTTTGCTATTTAATTTTTTATTTTACACATTCAGTGTTTGTCCAAATGTTCCTGAAACTAATTGTGTTGCAAAGATATTGTTATCTATATTATTGTATTGTATCTTATCATAAATGGCAAGCTCTTAATACAACTTAAATGTTATCACGCTAATCATTTTATAACTCAGCTGTTTTACTTCTAAAACTAAGGAAATATTGATTGTTATTTTTTGAACTATAGAAATTGAACAACTAGAATGTAAATTTTAAGTATATAGAAGTTCAAGATGGGCTTATATTGTAATGGTGGCAATGTATGTCGGTATCAATGGGTTGTGGGTTCATACACACCACATATAAAAGACTGGATTTCCAAATGTCCAAAGAGGGCTTTGCTAATTGTTTTCTAATTTGTTTCATCCAGTAAAGGCCATGCTTGTCTGTTCTTCTATACATCATACAAAAAAAAACTTATAATTGTCTATAAGTGTGCGAAACGTGGATAACAACTCGCGTCAAGGTTAAAGCAATTGCTAACAGATGCCATGATAATTGATTTGCGAGGCGCTACAATAATAGATATTGTTTAACGCGAAATTGGAGCATTTTAAACTTACGTGTACCTTCGATATAAAATAGTCTCCATCCATTTTTTTTTATTGTGTAGAGAAGAACACTGACTTGATTTCAGGTCATATTTGACCTGAAATCAAGTCTGAGATATTTCTCAGTCTATATCTACTCAAGGTGCGTTGTCGACCTATGTAGCCTTTGGATATTCGGCCTTTGTCCGTGAGATCGCGAGTTCGTGTACTAAAACATTGTTTGAGTTCATTATAGCATTATCTTTTCGTCGTGGGTTTGATCCCCCTCGGGTGCAACATTTTTCTAATCAATTTATATTTTTTGTGGACTTTGGAAATCTGCATATCAAATTGTTATATGTCCAAACATAGGTATGACATTGATAATTTGTTATCCACTAAAAATGATTTAAATGCATGTTTAATTAATGCGCTATTATCTTATCAATTTTCGCGGGTTGTAGAAGATCATAAGATTATGAACTAGGTGGTTCACATCGAATCAGCGTTAATGGTACCAATCGGTGGTTCGAGGTATCCTGCCCTCGGTACAAATAAAGTTAGTCTTGAAAGGGTAAAACATCCATTCAAAATTTAAAACACTTATTTACTTAAAAAAGAGACTAGTATAAAAACTTCGCTGGTTGTTGTGTCACGCAGTGAAAAGTCGCGATAGAGAATTTATATTTGCACAAATGATGTATTACAAGACAAACGACTGAGATTTTCGTCCACCTTACATTTGGGGGGGGGGGGGGGGTGAAATCTATCGTTTGCCTATGTTTGCCTAATCAATAAATGTGACAATATAATCTGTCGTAGATTACCTTGTCAGCGACACGTGTGCGAGTCTGTACACTCGACCGTTTTTATACACTAAGAAACTGCATTCGACATTAGAAGCAAAAATTTATCTAATTATTGGTCTACCGGCATAATAAATGCATTAAACAATTATTGCCAAACACATCGTTTGCCAAGAGACAGGACAAAGAGAAATTAAACTAAATATTATTTCGTAAGCAATAAAGAAAGAACCAAAAAAAAAGTACTTAAATAATGTTACAAATAAATTTTTGTCAGTATTCTAAGCTTGTGAGGTGAATAATGCTTACATACTTGTCGAAAATATACATTATAAAATTACCTGACATTTCCATTTGGTAATTGTTTTCGCTTCTTAGCTTACGTAAGTAGTATGAAAGCGGTATCGTACGTCATAGGAACGATTATTACTGCTACTTGGTGTTGTCGAGACCGTTGTGATAAATGGTTCTTGACGTTTCACCATCACGAGTTGATAACATTTGTAGATGTTGAGCGTTCTTCTACTGTAGACTGAAGAGATCTACAACGCGTTAAACACATAACTTCGTACTCCCCTTACGAAGAACTGTTTTTGGTGCTAAGACCAATATCTTGATGTAGTCAAGTTACCTGGACTCACCCAGCAAACTTGGCACCATGCTATCTTCAGCCCTCTCAGTATAATTTATGCTGTATTTTTATGTTTACCTTAGTAATAACCCAATAATACCTATAATCCCTGAAACCTATTGTTTCAAAGGGTTTTTTTATTATTTAGTCTTCACTGTCTTTGTATGTTACGTGTCGTGTCTATCTATAGCTGTTTTACGCAATTTTGTTTCTACTTATTAAGTTATAACAAATATGTCAGTGATTGTGATAAAATGTGTAAAAGTGAAATCCCGTTTCCCCCTCGTGAGGCATGGGGCGAACACTTTTCTGTGTCACTGATCGGTTTTATTTACAGGCAAGTAGTCGATCAGACTTCTGTGCCCTACCCGACCGAAACAATTCACTGTGTCCCCGGGATTCGAACCCAGGACCTCTCGTGCTTAACGCAATGCTAGGCAACACATTTAACCATTTAGCTACAGAGGCGGTCAATAAAATGTGGACAGCTCTTAATTTAATAAATTCATTAAGTGATGATTGGGGGCACTTTTTATTTATTTACATTACTTTAGCCGCCGAACTTCAGTCCTTGCATAATACTTGCCCCTATTTTTTCAACTGTAAATAGAACTTCGTTTTCTAATTTCCCACTTTGACTTTGAAGACCGTGCTTTGCTAGTAAAGTTCTGGGTGGATTCTTCTGATCAGCTTTGTTAAAAAGCCGATATAGAAATTAAAAAAAAGTGCCCCTTTTCAGATCTTCGGCTCGGAAGACAAGCTCGCGGAGGCGTTACAAATCTTACCGCAAACTCTACAATCCTGCGACGAAGTTTACAGGCGAGTCGAACAACTATACACTGATTTTGATTTTCACGGCTTGCCATAAATAGTATTTTTGTTGGACAGGGAAGCCTTTATATCCACTTGCATTGCTCAAAATTGTATGAATTGATCGATATTTCTAAATTGGAAACATATTCATTACTAACTGATCCGGCAAACGTTGCTTCGTTGTTTGCAAGAATATTGTACTGTTGTATGTTGATGCATTTTCAACAAACAATTGATAATAATGCGTTCCTGAGATTATCGCGTTTAAACAAACTCTTCAGCGTATATGAGTAACTTTGATTTTTTAAAAGAGACGTTTCTGTTTTATGTTTACGCGAGTAGTACACTTTTAAATAAAACGGTTTAAAACGCGATATATTAGCTAAACTTATTTAAATGTTTTTAACTTCGGCCCAACGTTTCGGATGCTCTGCAGCAGCCGTGGTCACGGGGAGACGTTTAAGTAACATATCGCGTTGTAAACCGTGAAAGTGTTTTATTTAAACAGACGTTTCATTATGATTACAATATTATCAAGACTATTGCTTTATAAGAAATTATGTTTATTTCGATTCCTTAAGTTTAAATATGGCAAGCCGTTGCTCAAAATTTGCCCATAAATAAACTGAACTACGTAAATATTTATTTTTTTTGCCTCGACGTAATAATTTAATTATTAGTCGTGGTATTTAATGCATTTTTTGTAGATAAGAGTTCTATTAGAATAAGCGATTTCATTTTTTATTGTAATAAGGTACTAGTCATATAACAGGATATACGTTTATGATACAATTCGCTACACATTTGAAGGCTTAACATTGGCAAACATTGAATGTATATATTACATTAACATTAATATACGCAATTACGGATCGAACCATGAATTAGTACAAAGCAAGACACAAAGTCGCGTCGCCGTTCGCTTCACCTTCTGCGTCGGTTGACGTCCTCAAGATTGGCCTAACATTGATTTTTGTATTACCCTTGTAATTTTGATATTTACACATTTATTAACTAACGTAAGATTGTTAATTAGTGTATTGATCGTGATCTCATACGCGTAAACTACATATTAAGAACTAAATAACGCATGCGCGTCGCATTTCATACGTAGGTCCTTTCCAAGCTATGTTTTAATCATAATATGTTATATTTATTTTTAAACCAACTTTTGTAACATCAACGTTCATCATGGAATCATAAGTATTTATAAAATATGTAACTTTAAGGCAAAATGAGTAATTCTTGAGCTCAAATGGTAATTATTGCTCATAATAGGCTCAGTGGTAAAATGTTTTTTACTAATCTAAAATAACACTAAATTCAATACATTGTATAAGGCTTTCGCGGCCATTTTACAATTAGCTTTTTTTATTAGAGGTTTTCGAGCAGTGACAATTATTCTACGAGTCGGCGAACGTAAACTCAATTAGCTTTTAAATACTGTCTATAGTTTAAGCGAGTAGTACACATTTAAATAAAACACTTTAACGGTGTAAAACGCGATATATTCGCTAAACTTATTTGAATGAATGCCACGGCAGGGCAAATCATTCGAAATGTCGGGCCGAAGTTAAAAATCATTTTCAAATAAGTTTAACTAATATATCGCGTTTTACACCGTTAAAGTGTTTTATTCAAGTAGCTTTTATTTAAGTAACACTAAAATGAGTTAATAAAGCGTTATCAGTTTAACACAATCCCTAAAAAAGCACTTACAAATTCTACTTTTTGTGTATCCCTATTTAAGTAACTCGTTTTGGTGAATACAGTAAATGACAAAAGTGATGTAATTTTTTATTATTAATTGTACTTTGCTTTGAAACTTGTTGAATCGTATGACTTTTCATTTAATTATAGCCAATTTTTTACTTTATTACTAACTTTATCTTATTATTGTACCTACATGTTGTTTGTCTATAGAGGACGCTTTTAGTCCTTGTCAAAGACTACATACGTACTCAGTGTAACTATATTTGTTTATACACCAGTATTTCTTTCCAAAAATAGCTATTCTTATAATCTTTATTTTACCCCCTTTATGTTTAGTATTTTTGCGTTTACGTAAAGTTCCTCTTAAAAACCATATTGTTATTTCGTTAGATTAAGGCTTTGCTTTAGATATTACATTATTTCAGAGTTCCAGTCTATGAGATAATATTATGCGAACTCGGCTTAGATATATATTCCAAATGTTTGTCATTCCCCGTCTTTCCCAAAAGGAAGATGTTTGTATATTTTGTATTTGAATAAAGTAAGCTGAAATTTAATGGTGTTTTTTTATATTTTATTTTAACTAGACACTATTTGGAGCCACTTTCGATCCTTGGATAACTCATAAACATGTCAAATATCGGATGTATATCAACATGGTTGAGTCAAATGCGCAAGAGGTGTAAAAATGTTGTTATTAAATAAATTTAAAAAAATCACTCCACAATGAAAATTTTAGAAAACGAGTGGTCTTTTGGAATCTTATTTAAATAATATTTTATAAATACTGTCTATAGTTTACGCGAGTAGTACACATTTAAATAAAACACTTTAACGGTTTAAAACGCGATATATTAGTTAAACTTATTTGAAAATGATTTTTAACTTCGGCCCGACGTTTCGGATGCTTTGCAACAGTCTCCCCGTGACCACGGCTGCTGCAAAGCATCCGAAACGTCGGGCCGAAGTTAAAAATCATTTTCAAATAAGTTTAACTAATATATCGCTTTTTAAACCGTTAAAGTGTTTTATTTAAATATTTTATAATCCAAGGCTTGGCTGAGTAAATAATACAATTTTATTACAAATTTAAATACATTTATTAAATAAAACTTACATTTATTTACAACAGTAATTTGATTGAATAGACTAAGGGGAATGATTTTACCAATCCTAAAGCAATTGTGAGTCTAGTTTCATTGGTATATGACCACTGTAAGTAAGTTAGGATTAAATAGGATGTATATAAACTAGTTCAACTCATGTGATAACTCAAATTGTGTATATAAGCTAGTATTGTTAAGAATAGGTATTTTTTATCATAATGTACATGTAAATGTATATATGTATAAAACAAGTATTATTGGTGTGGTTGGGTCGAGAATTGTACCAAGCATTAAGTGTTGTGAAGAAAATCTACAAATCGGCCGACTGTTTCTTTAACAAAACTTCGATTCAATATACCACATTTAACACATACAATTGTTCCTTTACAAACGTATAAAACTTCATTTCCTTTTTAAGTATTATTTGCTGTATTAGTTTTAGTTTTTCTTTAAGTTTAATATAACTAGAACAATAAATTTTAGCGTAATAATTTCTTACACAGTTACAAGAAACGTTTTACAACTAATGTACTTTTGAGCTTCACGCATATCGTTATACAATAGTAACATATTAATTTTACAATAAGCTGCGTAATGAAGAGAGATCATAGATTAGTATCACCGTAATGAGTTAATAGGCAAAAGTTGTGTTCACGCCCACTGGCCATTACGTCCTTGTCATTTGTAGGGAGTTGCAAGAGAGAGACAACGCTCTATTAACTCGTTTCGGTGAATACAAAAGTTTTGTATTTAAAACAATTTCACTTATAGCAGTTTTAGGTATGATTTTTATTACTTCCTTATATATTAAACATCTACCTAACGCGAATTGTGAGCAATGCTTGGCATGGCTTAGTATACAACTTATAAGTACATCCCAAATTTAACAAAAAAAAGATCAGCACATCGTAGGTATATAACCTTTTTTTTAAGAAAGGGTTTACGATACAAACATCTTTATCCACAGCGTTTAGGTCGAAAAATTAAAATATAAATTCATTAGTTTACCATTTTAAGTTCACAAAACTTGTTCAAAGAGGAAATTCCATATTAATCGAAATGTGTATGTGACGAAACTATATTCTCAGCGTGATAGATATTATTTACAGAGCATAAAATTAAGTGAAGTCATATCTACATATTTTTATACAATATTATATATTAAACGAATATGTACTTACGTTTCTCACAATTAGTTCATAATATTAAACTTTTAGTATTAACTTACAACGAATTTAACATACAGGGGTTCTAATCTAAAAATCAAATAATAATATACAACAGATAACATGCAACTGCTGTCGGGCCAAGAAATACAACTCGCTCTAAAACCTATTTGAAACATCTTTAGTATAAAAACATTAAGGGCTGTTTCTATAGACCGCGATCAAAATTAACAATGAGCGAAATAAACATCATTGTGAATCGTTCTTTACATAATGTTTTGAGTATATCTATATATACTGACGGCGTAGCACAAAGTTATTGGAAGCAATGTTTAGGACATATACCAAATGTGTCGATAATTTTAACGTAAATAGAACAGTTTTAACGGGGTGGTGGATAACAGCATCGACGGTACATTTTACCTTTGAAATAGCCCATTCCACCAGTTTCGTTAAGGCCCACTAAACATTGAATACCTGTTCATCGTAGAGAATTGTAATACAGCGCTTTATTTACTCATTTTGGTAAATAGGATTCTTATTTTCACATACCTGTACATAAATAAATTTAAGATGGAAAGATTTCACAGCCTTAATACATAAGTGATAAGGTTGAAATTCAATTATTCGTTCTTAAACAGATTTTTTTTTACCCGTACGCCGTCAGTCCCTCCCGACTTTATGTCTCACTTGATCGTTGGCTGTTCCCGCTCTGTCCCGGTGTATTTCTTGCCCCGATCAAGTCAGTTCGGGGCGGGAGCCTCGGTCAGGCCTGCGGTGGCTCGTCCATGGGGTTGGCGCGAGGTAACTCGTTCTGCTCAGCTTCAGCGAACGTGGAGGACGAGGAAGTGGATGGGCTACGGCTGGACGTAGATGTTGAGGAATCTGCTTGGTCGGATGTACCAGAATCTCTGAAAAAATTGACTTATAGAATAATTACGCCAGACGGGACTCAAACCAGCATACAGTAATACTGGACATGGTGATATTTATTGGTTTTATGGATGTCTTATTTTCTTAGTTAAACGGTAAGAATTTCTTTTGAGTTTAGGGTTAATTATAAAAGATTCTTCATAAGGAGGATGCATAAATATTTATATATATTATTATTTATTTATATATTGTTTAAGAAAATGGTACTAACTTATGAAATCCATTCGTCTGACAAGTGTTATAAGCACCGCAGTGCTGGCACTTCAACCCGACCACGTGGAATTTCACTGTTGATAACTGAATAAAAAAAAAAAACGAATTTGAAAATACCACACAACCATCAATATTATAAGCTGAATACATTATATTATATATATATATATATACATATACATATTTGAATTACTGTATTTAGATACGCCTGCTTCCCGTAGCTCTGACGTTAACATCAAGCACGAAAGTTGCTGAATTCGAATCCCGGGAAAACGTAAATCGTTTCGGTCGGGCAGGGCAGTAAAACGATAAAGAAGTTGCCTGTAAATACTGTCTGAAGTTTTTGCGAGTAGGACATATTTAAATTAAACAATAACGTCAAATACCATCTACGACGGAACAGGTGGCGCTGGCATAGCAGTTTTACTTTGGCATTAGAGAATTTTGCAAATAAGTTTAACAAATATACGTCGCGTTTTAAACCGTTAATTTAGTTTATTTAAATTGCCTGTAAATAAAATCGATGAGTGAAATGGAAAAAAATGCTCCATATGTGGAAACCGGATATAACTTTGATACCTACTTTATGACAATCCTTGCAAAGTATAGTGGTTTTATAATCGGCGTATTCTGGCGGCATCGGCGTCGCGGCCACTTCCGAATCGAGGTATTTCCACAACTGAAAGGTTTAATTATAAAATTTAAATAATTACGAATGAATGAAATATCAAACCAACGACAGACATAAAGTGAGAGGTGTGTGTATAAAATGATTCAAAATTCAATAAAGGCATCACACACCTCTGGTCTTCGATTGAGCCCACTTTAATTTTGTCCAAATTCAATCTAACATAATAATATAATAAGTATATATCAAAGTGTAATTAAACCATCTATCATAATCATATATATGGTACTTCTTCTTAAAGCAACTTTATGGTTGCATCCGTCGTGTTCGGTTTTTGATACAATCATTTGAAACTATACTGGAGGCGGAGGTGAGTGTAGCAAGTAATAATAATAATTAATTATAGTGATGTAACTTAAATAATTAGAATATAATATATAATAGGATTAATTATTGTTTTTTAAGTAAGTTAGGTTAGGTCATAAAAAAAATAAATATCGAAAATAAATTAGACACGGGCAGGACTTGAAGCGGCTTCGTCAGCGTTCCGTGCTGTCGCCCTACCAATGGAGCTACCGAGTCCCAACGTCATATAAACATAATATATTTACACGTTTTCGTCATGTATGAAAACAAATAAATGTAACATGATCAATTCAATTATCACCTTCTTTATATCCATATAAAATAACAACCAAACATATATAATAAAAAAATTCCATCATTATTTAATAATATTATGACATAGTCATGTTTAACCGTGGTCAGTAAACCGACTTTACAGACAATCGATTTTTATTACTATTTTTTTGGTTATGTTAAACCCACTATGTTCTGTAAGATACGTGTGCTACTTACATTTGACATATCAATCATACTAGTCTGGCAGGTGGGGCAGGCGTAGTGGCCAGATTTCAACATCTGCTCGAAGCAGGGTCGGTGTAGGAGGTGTCCACAATCCGGGATGTGACAGGGTATACGAGATGTGTGGATGTCCTCCAGACAAACTGGACAGTTAGCGCGAGACACGTTCTCTACGCACTGGAAGATTTTTGAAAAATGGTATATTTGAAAGCCTTTTTACATAAATAATTTTAAAGAACCTTTTATAATATTTTTTAAGAAATGTTTTCATAAATATCTGTAACATATTGACTTTCGTAATCCTTAACCTTACATTTACATTATAATACATAAGAAACACATTATTGCAAATGGGGGAATTGGGAAAATAGTTAGCATGTGGATTGATCAGTTAATACTCCTACCACAAACTCTTGAATACCAATTTCAATACTAACATATGGCTTGCAAAATTACTTTTTTACAATAAAAAATATTTTCAAATAAAACACTTTAACGGTTTAGAACGCGATATATTAGTTGAACTTATTTGAAAATGATTTTTTACTTCGGCCCGACGTTTCGGATGCTTTGCAGCAGCCGCGGCACGTATATCACATATATCGCGTTTTAAACCGTTAAACTGTTTTATTTAATTGTGTACTACGCGCGTAAATTATAGACAGAATTTAATGAAAATCTTGTTGTAAATGTGGTCTAATAATCTCTTGCATTTTGATTCTGAGCTGCTTCCTTCTTTTGAAACATTTTTCAAGACTGGGTACAAAGTAATTTGCATATGAATAAAACAAGAGAGGACCTGAACCTGCCTAAAAGGTAAGTGCTAAAAATGTAATAAATAATCAAACAGTACCCGATGCCCAACGCGTTGCAACTGAACTGGGAGGCACATATTGCACCGTTCACAGTGGAAGAATCTATCCCGTCCACCAACGCGACAGATCCCGCACCCGTCGCAGTGATATTGTTTCTTGTCCTCATCATCGAATAGATTGCAGATCAGACATGTGTACTGGAAATTAAAATGTTAAGTATAAAGTTTTTTTGGCCCATTGTACAATACATGTACTTAACAATATATGTACACCCTAATAAATAGTGTAAGGCTTTCACGGTCATCGTTCAAGCATATCATTGTCGAGCAATCGAGGAGCTAACTCACGTCGTGGAACGTAGAACATTATGTTCAAACCAAGGACACAACTAAATGAACAATTTAGATAACACATTTACATAAATGGAGAATTGCGAGCTAACCCAGCCAAAATGTTTTCTGAGGTTATAAACTAAGATTTTTGACTAAATTTTATATTATGACCATCTACAATAACTATATAAGTAAAATTTGTATAAACAACTTAATAGCATGCGAAATTCCATTTCTCCTAATGGCAGACACATTTATGTGGCTGTTAACTGACTAATTTTTAAACAGGGCAATAGATAACCTCTGTATCCTGACTGAAGCTAATAAGTTTTCCTGGAATAAAACCTAGGTCTATTGAAGTCTGAAGATGGTCCCTAAATATAATACAAACTAATATCACAGGTAAAACCTGGGGGCACAAGCAGATTGATTACCTTTCCAAAACGCACACCACAATTCTCACATTCAGCTTGCACTTTTTGCCGTGTATCACATTCTGTGCATATAAGCTCAGTGACTGACTTCCGGTTAAAGTAGTGTTCCTCGTTCTCATCATGACAGTATCTGCACATGTAGAGTTTGTTGCAGCATGGCGTCTGAAAATATAATATTGCAAAATTAGGCTGTAACACTTCAATATATTAAAATTAATAGCTAAGTGGCTTGAGCCCAATAAAATGTCATTATACAAAGGTTTGACTAAAACTTAGCCCCATAGAGCATGTATATATATACATATAAAGCTGATAGGTTTGTTTGAACACGCGCGAATTGTGAATTGCGCTGTGACTAACAGAAAAAGCAGAGGGAAATGTGGAAAAACCCAAGAAAATTATTCATCTTTTTTGAGTTTCTCATGTGGACACAATACACAAAAAGTATGTATGTAAATGTTAAATTAATAATATAGAACCTTTTTCATGTAAAAGAAAAAGTGTACTAAAATGACCATGCAAGTTATCATTGTTCTCTCAACATTTCAACTTTTCTTGGGTAGTACAGATATGGATGTGAATACAGAAAAGATGTATATCTTTTAAGGCGACTGACATAGTGGGTAACACCTGAATAAGAGAGAAGATGTTTACAAAAACCAAAATTTGAACAAAATAGAACTGATACCTCAGGTTACTCTATTGAGCCTATTCCATTAAATAAGTTTATGTACTTATTATATAATTTATTAACATCCTATATCTATTCTTTCCTATTCACAATGTATAACAGTTTGAGTATTGACAAATGTAATTTGCTTCTAATATCAATAAACCTTGACAATGAAACAAGACATATAACAAGGTTATTTCAAATCCCTCTAGAAATGGCTATATGTTCTTGGTGTAATATAGACTGTAGTCATTCTATCATAAAAATGGATTAAGTTCACTGACTTTCTTTGTTTTCCATAATCTGCGTGTCATTTGACTCGAAGTTTCTGCGTTGGATAAATTTAGATACGTATGTTCTGCACCCGGTAGTCGGCACGCGCATCCTGTATCCAATGAGTTAGTGCCATCTCTAAGGTGTTAATAAGAAATAAAACTCACCACAAACTTAGCACGGCGCTTGTAGTGGGCGCAACCAACACGTTTTTCACTTATTTCTTCGATCACTGGTGCAGTATCTTCGCTTTCGGTCGCAGCATCTTTTTTGGACATTTTCAATGGTTCACAAATATTCGAATAAGTATGATCGCATGGCTTATTCCTTCAAGGTCAATCAGTTACCGATGGACGGGCACTAAACAATCAATTAATTTATTTTATTGAAGAACAATGACGAAAAATTATGCACCGTAACCAGCAATCCACGAATAACTAAACGTCAATGACAACTGACAGTACACGAAGTGACAGTGACATGATTGGCCACGGTCAGTGTTGCTATAAGTTTTTCAATAGGTTATATAATTTTCACAGAACAGCTAAATACCAGTCACATGAGAAAAAAAAATTAAGACAACCCCAATCAACTTTATTTTCAAATGTAAAATGTAACACAGTATCGTCTCAATAAAAAATAAAATGAAATTCACAGTGTGCATTCCGGTACTGCTTTTATTGTTTCAGATTGTGAAATGTCTTTTACCTCCAAAATTCCAGTGGAAAGTAATAGAGTTTGCGTGGGATGAATCTGCCCGCGAAGCCGCGTTAGCTTCAGGCGCTTACGTTCCTGAAAATAACATGCCAGCCGGTATAGCTAGGTGGAAACAAAAGTTATTCATAACTATACCTAGATGGAAAAAAGGTGCGTAGTTTATAATATGTACATACGCACATCTTTAAACGTAATTATTAGGAGGCTTCCTTATTAGATATTTTAAACGTTACATGTCCAAGCTAAAAAAGTCCTGAAAACACATAAACAAAGATCCACAGAAGCCCTCTACATACAATCCTCGTCCTGGTTTTGAATAAAACTATAAATGCAAATATTTGCTTTTTCAGGTGTACCCGCATCCTTAAATTACATAAACATAAACGGGAATCAAAGTCAGGAATTAAACCCTTATCCTAGCTGGGAAGATGCCTTCGTCTCCAACAAGGCGTGTTGCGTGGCCTCAAATAAAACTGTTGTGTCTGCGTTTCGAGTGCACGTGGATAAATGCGATCGATTGTGGGTAGTTGACAATGGCGTCGCCGATATGTCCAGTTAGTCTTTACATTTTTAATTTTTAAAAGTGTAAAAATATGTTTCATATTGATAGATAGCCTGACATTGAGTTGCTTTGCAGCAGCCGTGGGCACGCAGGGACTAAAGGAGGGTGGACTTTGACAGTCAAGACTGTTACGCTAGCGTCACCTGTTTTGTCGTAGTTGAAACTAGCTGGGTCTTTACGGATGGTCGTTTTTAACCGTTTAACTTGTTTTATTTAAATTCGTATATGTTAGAGCTACGTAGAAAAAGAATTATCAGGTGTAGGTACCAAGAAACCGTGTAGAATTAAAGCGTAAACTCATTGAAATTAGTATACCAGAATAATGGCTTATGATAAACAATGCAGTCGTTTAATTTACAGCTGGGGTAAAACAGATCGGTCCTCCAGTCATTTTGATATTTGACTTAAATAGCGACGAACTGCTTCATCGTTACGAGTTTAAGGACGAGGAACTAAGGGATTCTTCTGTACTTACGGGGCTAGTATGTACCTTTTATATTCTACTTTCATCATCCTTGCTTTCTGGAAAGTGTATTTTCTGTATCTGGTCTGTCAAATTGGTGCGTTTCAGCTGTGAAATAGATTTTTGATAATACACCATATAAATTACAATGCAAACCGTTTTCACTTTGTTCTTGACTATAATAAGAAATCCCATTGGCTCCCGTTCACATTGTTTTAAGAAAAATATTTTTTTGTTGAGAAACCTGAAATCTTTGACGGCATTGTGCACTTCTCGCAATAGTTTAAAAATGTTAAACTTATATTACGGCGCAATACCAAGAGGAACAGTCAATATAAATAAAAAATCGATTTTAAAGAGAGACCAAAAATTGTTAACAATACTTACATAAATAATAGTACAAATTCATTTTCGCCAGTGTCATTTCATTTCAAAATTACGTTTTTATTATGAGGCCACTCTGCCTCTAGCAGCCTTAATTTTGTCTAGTTGACACTACGATAGTGGATTTTAGGATGTAGAAATGTCAGGAAAAGGATGTGGAGATGCCTTCGCGTACATTCCGGATATGGGTTCAAACGCCATGATAGTATACAGCATGAAGCAGAACGACGCTTGGCGTGTCGAGTGTCCCTTCTTCCACTTCGACCCCCTCTCCAATGTCTACCGAGTGGGGGGAGTGGAGTTTTACTGGAACGATGGAGTCAGCTCAGCTGTACTGGTGCCTTCTAAACGCACTTCTGGGTAATGTTCGGGTCTATATTTTTTGGGTATTCGTAGTTTACGCGAGTAGTACACATTTAAATAAAACACTTTAACAGTTTAAAACGCGATGTATATTAGATAAACTTCTTTGAAAATTATTTCAACTATGGCCCGATGTTTAGATTTATTTAGATATTTAGTTAGATGCTTTGCAGTTAGTTTAACTCATACATATGGCGTTTTTAACCGTTAAAGTGCTTTATTTAAATAAGTCATCCAAGATTAGATGATACAGTTGCTTAATTAGCAGAGCTAGTCGGTTAGTCTTATGTTCGAGAGCCTTTTTTTTCCAATAGGGCTAGGAAGGTAGTTTAACAAAGGTATATTTTCAGTCATCGTGATTTGTACTTCCATCCGACGTCCAGCACTAAACAGTTCCGAATAGCAACGAAGTTGCTTAAAGATAAATATGTACCCAAGGAATACATATTTAGTGGAGCTGAAGTAAATATTTAACCATTCGATATTTACTATTAAATAAAATAAAACCAAGGTGATTAATAAATTTTGAATACCAGGTGGTGGGGGATAGGGGCCTACTCTCGCAGGCTACTGCAGCGGACTTCGATCCCATAAACAATGTTATGTTCTATGCACAAGTAAGTAGCTTTTTATAACATGAGTTAATTTATTAAAACCTGAAATGCAAAAAAGGTAATTTATCAACCCATCCTCTCATTTTTTAAATCTACTAATATTAAATGCCTTAATGGCGCAGTGGTTAATGATTTGCAAGCAAGCATGAGAGTTAGGTTCGATGCCTGGAAAATGAGTTTCGGTTTGATCAAGAAGAATACAACAGAAACACAAAACAGAAAAAGTGGTTCGAACTTGTCAATTACCCTATACCTATAATCAAGTAGAGGCACAGACACAGAAATATGTCTGCCGCATATTGAATTTTGAATATGTCAAGAGAATATTGAAATATTGTTAAAGAGGGATATGTTATGTCGAAAGAAAGACGTGTCCAAAAACCAGATATTATATCAACACATAGAGTAAGGTTTCTTTGTTTCTTATTTACATCAAGCCAAAATTGTGTACAGTTGAGCAGAAATGGCGTCAGCTGTTGGAATACGGAAAAGCCGCTAGACGAAGAGAACTCTCCGCTGATTCTCAGCGACTGTACTGTACTCGAATTTCCTAACGACATAAAGGTATCTTTACTGTCTATTGTTACTGTAATTAATTAATTTATTTATTTCATTATAAACATATTCTACCATTACAGGAAAAATTCATTGCGATAGACTTATTATATAAATATTTCATAGAGTGATGTTTTTGTCAATTCACCCAAGCTGCACGTAAAAATGTCGTAACGTAATATTTATACTAGCCGACTTGGCAAACGTGTTTGCCAAATTTTATTTTAACGATACTTGATGACCATAGAAATACCATAAAACACTAAAATAGCCGTAGTTAAAAATTAAGCAGTAATTGTTTTATTTAGTCAGTCGAATGGCTATACCTTACTGCAAGTGTATTTTTACTCCCAAATTCTTGTTCTAGGTAGACCACGAAGGCAATCTCTGGATTTTGAGCAATAGACAATCACGTTTCCTCTACGAATCTATGGACCACAATGAAGTCAACTTTAGGATTCTCTCTGCCCCGACTTCGCGGCTTATTCAAGGGACAGCTTGTGAGAAGATGTCTACGATAGATAGAGCTTTAAGTTTTGTGAAACGGCCGAAGTCTAAGTAGAAGAAAGATTGACATAGAAACAGAATTAAAAACACGTTTAACGGTTTAAAACGCGAAAAGTATTGGTTAACCTATTTTAAATATATTTTAACTACGGTCTGACGTTTCGAATGCTTTGAAGCAGCCGTGATCACTAAGCTCACTTGTAACTTATTTCGTCACGTTTTAGACCGTTAAAAGTGGTATATTTAAATGTGTACTACTCTAGTAAACTAGAGACATTTCCTATGCTCATAAAATGCCTTCGTTTCCTAAAATACCTTATACTTTGACAAAAGAGCGAAAAATAAAAATCGAAAAATAATTTAAATTTTATTTAAATATACAACATGGTATCTAGAGCTATACACAGGTCCATGTAGGTTTTCCGAATGTCCGCGGCACAAGTGTTATTCGTTCCTATTATTCAGTCTTTTTTGCTAAGGGACGTCACTTCACGAACAAAAGCTATGGTGTTCACACGACTCCGATACGATATATTCTTCGTCGTACGATTTTAATGCAAACATAAAGATTATATTTTTTTTATGTAATGGTGTAATTTAAGAATTTTGGGTAAGTAAAAGTTCATGGTTAAGACAAAATTATATTATTTACATCTTTGAAGTATGTCTTTATTAAAGAAGGATAAAGGAAAATTCTTTCATCTCCTGACGGGGAAACATTGAGAACCATATTCCAAAATGGCCGCAAAAACGTAATTTCAATTCGAATATTCAATGCCAAAATAGGACAACAGCGCATTTTGTTAAGATGTTGAAGTTATCACCCCTTCCCATAGAGTGAGACAAATCAGTTTTACTTTGAACTTTTCTATATTGACCGTATGGTAAATGTGATATCGTATCGTAGTCCTATGAACAGTCATTTAAGAAAGAGATGAAGATATAAACGACATTTGTTGTCTCTTTCATTTAAAACAGTTAATTTTTTTTAGAATCTTGAATAAGTGTAAGACAGAATCTAGTTAACGATGTATAAAACTATCAAACTCATAAATTCTGAATTAAAAAAATAATATACAATAGTAAAACAATTCATAACATTTTGTTAGATTTGAGAGTATTTCATTCACAATTTAGATTTCGTCAATAGTTTTATAAGATTGCTTAGTAAATTACATTAAAAATAATTAAAAAGTGTAAGATTTGATTGTGAATATTGCAAAGCGTGTAGAAGTTTGTATTTACAGATTAATGATTGTAGGCCATCTTTCGAACATACAAGACGGCTGTACTTAAATCATATGAAAGTGAAACTTTGGTGTTTTAAACTGTCGAATACTAGAAACATTTTTTAAAAAGATGTTCGTAACCATTTTCACATGACATTTTTTTTGTCGTAGAAATTAGTAAGAGCGCCATCTATCCATAATGTATGAAACTAGTACAACTTTAACTAAAGCTCTTCATGGTACAGTAAAACATATCTCATTTCTTAGTACAGCCGTTCAGTTTTCCAATCGTTCGTCAAAGCGCTTGTAAACCAAGTACTAGTTAAAACAGTTCAAAGTGAATTATTGAAAGATTTTTAATATAGTCCCTAAGATTTGAACTTTACATATTAGATTGTATTGCTTAATTCCTCAATAACTTTTTAGACAAACTCTGTAACTTAGAAAACCATTTAAGTGTTGAGGAATTCTGAAGGATATTGGTATTAAGGATATGTGCATTAAAGATTTTGCAGACAAATGATTGTAAACCAGTTATTGATATAAATAGTTCATAATTGTGATTATTTTTATATTTATTATTATCAAATATCCCGTTTGAGATCATTTTTAATTTTTATAACAGTTAGAACCTATCAACACTATGCGATAGTATTTTACGAATTAAAATTATAGTATACAGATAATATTTTAATAATTCACGTATCTTACACCGCACTCACCATATGATTGCATCCAACGAAAAAAAAAGATAATTTAGTATAAATTTTCCTAAAAAAAAAAACAATAGTAACTAAGTATTCAAAAATCATGACAATTCAAAGATGTATGACATTGGTCTTATCTGGCTCAAAGGACCAAAACATTATATTAATATGTCTATGTGAGTGCGGTCCTTCGATTCAATCGTATTCGTTCAAGTCAAAAAGCGAATATTTCCGCAATCTTCTAACGTATCTAAGCGACTAACTGTAGTGCGTCACAAGAGTTAGACTGGCAAAGTATTTTCATCATTGTGCATGAAAAATTTAAGTATCTATTTTTGTCTGTAGATGATCTGTCTTTTTTTGGACCACGCTGAAAATATTTTGCAGATCCTATAGTAGAATCTATCACAACCGACACCCTAACCTTTAAACACAAACACGAAACATCACAATTTCAAGTTATATGAAGTACAGTAATTTTGTATGGCAACCGGCTGCCCGATATTTACGCAACTTCACGAATACTCTTCAGGGTGCCGGTTGAAATTGACGTTAACTTATCATCTAAATTCAATTCGACAGTGTAGAAATTTCTACCTTATTGTAGAGTAATTAGAGTCCATATTTCTATCGTGTTCCATTATCTGGTTTCCGCGTTCTCTGCGCGCTGTGTGGGACTGCGTTGTGGCGTTTTGCTCTCTATGCGTTTCTTCAGTGGCGTGTTGTATTCCCAGCCCTCATCTGGTTTCGGACTGAATAACTGAAGAGGAAATAAATTAATTAACTACAAATAAATTGCATTAACCAAATTGCTTTTTGTTATTTCAGAATAGTAAATTTAGTTATATAACGCCCATTCTTTTGTTAAGTTTAAGAGTTCATTGGTTGAAAGATTTTTTAACTAGGTCGAACAACAGGCTGTCGTGTTCATTATCGTAGACATTAATTTTTAATATAATGTGGATAGAATTTTTTTTTTTTTTTTTGATTTTTTTTAAAAAAAAACCCCACCCCCCCCTTTTTGGGGGCGTTTTGGAAAAAATTTTTTTTAAAAAAAATTTTTTTAAAAAAAAAAAAAAAAACACAAACGAAATCATTGATAACTGTTTTGCGCGTTATTAGTTTTATTTAAATACTGTGTATAGTTTGCGCGATTAGTACACATTTAAATAAAACACTTTAACGGTTTAAAACGAAGTGTTTTATTTAAATAATCTACCAGTTCCTACTAAACAAATTTCATTTAGTTTTTTGGAAGGTTTTATAACAATGAGTATCCCATTTTAAATGGAGAAATCTAAAAAAAGCTATAAATATTTACTATGTATATGGAGGACAGCTGGATCTATACTCCAGAGTCCCCTTACAGCGTCATACCTGTGTTTGCCACGCCTCTTCGTTATCAGCTCGTTTCTTGGCGGCATCTCTCTGCGTCTGCTCCAAGAGCCGTTTCGCGCCCGTCGCAGCCTCAGTATCGGCCGCCCGCAGAGCGGCTGTGACGTAACGCCAAATGCGACGCGACTCGTGCGGCGCCTGGCGACTAATCGGTGCGACTCGCTTGCGACGCGTCTTCATTGTCGCAACGTCGAACACGACTTCAGTCCGCTGTTTAAGGTGGTATTAGGATAAGAACTAGCTAAATTCGGCGGGGGTGTATAATATTCCCGACAGATTATAAAAAATCAGTGGAGGGGTGGTGCAACGGTGGTAGAAATTTCTTTACGTCACATAACAAATGTTTAAATAAAACACACTTTAACGATTTAAAACGCGAAATATATTTTAAATACGACGTCACGTTTTGAATGCTTTGCATCAGCCGTGCTTACGGGAAAAAGTCAACGACAAATATTTCTACTATTCCTTGAAATAGTCAAGATAATTTTCTTATATACAAGGAAATTGTTTTATAAATAATTGTGTGTAGAATAAAGATTTTTTTTAGATGTTTGTAGTACTTATTTAGTTATATCGCTCTATACTGTTTTTAATACTTTAACAAATCTATGCACCCAAATAGCCTATTAATTTATTAAATCATAACAAAGAACAACTTTACTAACCCCAGATTCTGTCCACCGTGCCTCCATTCTGGTGTTCCACTCCCCCTGGGCTGTGTAATAGGGCTTCTTCTCAGTTCCAGCGAAGACCTCGCACGTCACACGATGCTTCTTACCGCCGTAGAACGGCTTGGTTAGAAATTCAACATTGGCTTTGTGCCCCGTTTGGACACACTCTATCACCACTGAACCGCCTAATTCTATCCAGGGCACCGTCAGAATTGACCTGGAAACAAATATTAACAATATATACAAAATGTTCTTTTAAAAAGTCAAAAAAAAAAAAAAAATAATTTGTTCACGTAGATAACTACGTACACTTATGAACGTTACACCAGTCATATCAAAGGCGTAGAACGAACGCGAAGAACTGGCAGGAAACCAGTTTATTGCCATATATCATTTGAACGTAATGATGATGTGCTAACGACCTAAACTGGTCGTTAGGACATTAGAACCTCGTGACTAGGGCTTTTTCATTTGAGCAAGGTAGTTCGTGAAACGTGAATGATTTTCAGCCTTTTTCTAGAAAAAGGCTGAAGTCTTCAAATATATTTAAAGAAAATAAGGGATTCGAACCAATTGATTATAAGAGATATAATGTACCTTGGAACCAAACCAGTTGACTCTTACCCATTAATAATACCACTGACATTACGATGTGTTACGTTTTTCATAATCGGAAGCATTTTATAGGATTTACACAAAGACACAAATTTGATGCACAATCGAAGAAAATATGAAGAAGAAAATTTTATTGATTACATTATAAGCCACACAAAATCGGACCTGAATTCGGGACTTCACGATTGGAAATTGAGTGCAGGTACCACTAGACCAAATCGGCTATCAGGACTTGAATGTATGGCTAAAAGTGAAACCACATTTTCCCCCGTGGGGAATAGGGCGCACAAATTTCTGTCTCCAATTCATTGGTTCTGTTTGTTGTTCAATAACCTCAATCCAGATCTTTCGTACTTAAGATAATGGTAAGCAGCACGTTTAAGGTAGCAAAAACAATGAAATGAATATAACCAACCTGCCATAACCATTGGGAAAGGTGAGCGTGTACTCTTCGCCAAAGTCCAACAGCGTAACAGTCCCCCGTCCAATATTATGAACGCCGATGGACAAGCCCAGGAATTTACTCTTCGTCCACACCCAAGCTTCGAATTGTATGCGCTTGTTCACGTGTTCCGCGTAGAAGGCGGATATTGGGGGGTGGTGGGAGACCTGTTCTGCGACGAACGACAGCTGGTCCGGCGTGCACCAGGGGACCGGGCCGTCACCCACTTCTTGCTGAAAAAGTAATCTATCTTTAGGGGATTGACTCTGGGGAGAACTCTGAATTAAACATTTATTTATGATAGAGGAGGACAACAAGCACGGAGTTCACTCGATGGGAGGATACCCCAGCCATGTGTTTGAGATACCTAATGAATATGCTATGGAAGAATGTTTTCTCTTTACATGATCTAAGTAATCCGCGACAATATGTTTATTTGTTAAGATTAACTTCTAAGATAGACCAGATGCCAACGGCATTGTGGATAACTGCTATAATTCAGGTTTGCAAGAAACAAATTTAGACGGCCTAAATAACTATTCTACGCGGACGAAGTCGCTGGCGTAGCTGGTTAACTTATATAGTGAGCGATTTAAACAGTTAAATATATTTCATTAAGAATTTAATACAAGCAATACTTAACTAACGAAATGTAATTTTCTTTTTTTTTACTCACCTTATCACCATTATTGGGCGGTTCGACGCCGTCCAGGTCCCAATGACAGCGGAAGACCTCACCCAGAATGGGATTATAGGGCTTCTTGGCGACTTGGGACTTCCGACCCGCGTGGTACGAGCTCAAGTACCAGCGCACCACTTGCACCATTCTCTCGCGTGGCGAGGGCATGTCCACTATCCTGAAAAAATAGTATTACAACATTATTCAAAAGTTAAACCGTGTTTTAATGCCATCTTACATTGAACGGACCAAGAAATAAATAAATATTGAATAAATAATTAACGCGAAATATATCAGTCGTGTACTAACCCCTCCTTACAAAAGGGGGAACTGGGGGTTAAAAAAAAACACCTTTGATACTTTTAACTACGACTCGACGTTTTCCGGATGCTTTGGCCCGTTGTCAGTGGTTAATTAGTGTTAAATTTCGCGTTTTAGACCGTTAAATTGTTTTTTGTGAATGTGTTCTACCCCGCCTAACAGCAAACGTAACATTTAAATTATATTTTGGTGAATCTTGAGTTGGAAAAGAAAGTTTGGTATTTTTCTACGAAAATAATAAATACTCAAACAACTTAATGAACTAAATATGATAATGTGTTTGTTTGCCTTTCCTTTAGGTTCCAACTTAGTTACAAATATACTGAACTTTGGTATACATTTGAAAAAAAGTTGAAATCTTTTAAATCCCCCGTGGAGCATGGGGGCGAACACATTTCTGTGTCCGTTTCACTGATCCGTTCTTTAATAGACAAGTAGTTGATCAGACTTCTGTGCCCTGCCCAACCGAAACAACTTCATGTTTCCCTGGGATTTGAACCCAGGACTTCTCGCGCTTAACGCAATGCTAGGCAATACGTTTAACCATTTGGCTACAGAGGCGGTCGCGGTATTTTTAACTGTATAAGTAGCCATTTAGTATTTCTATCTATGTAGTAAGCAGTTAAAGCCGAATGAAAAGCTATACAATACAAGTATACCCACTTGACAAACTGGTCTGGGTGTGCGAAGGAGTCCGCGTACATTTCAAGAAGCGATCGCCTTTCCAGGATAAACGTGGGAAGAACAACCTGGGGATAACATGAAAGTAAAGTTATATACTTTTTTATATCTAGGAAAAAAAAATTAAAAACGTTGTAATACTACCAGCAGTTATAAAACCTCTCATCATCTCTCGTTTTAACTTAAAAAACTAGCTGCCATGGCAAAAGCTCTTCCGCCATAAAGTATTTCGGCGATATTTTATTCCCATAAAAAGGGTTCCTGCGAGTTAGATACATGTATACTGTCGCGGACATTTTTTTTGACTTTTTAAAGAAGAAATATTCTAATTACTATGAATTTTTGGTATCTTGTACCGTTTTCGCAGCGTACGCAACGGTAACCCTCAAAGACGAATAACTCTCCCCGTTTTTTCCACATTTTCCGCTGTTTTTTGCAACGCCTCTTTTATCGCAACTCAATCAATGCTCTAACCAACATGAAAATAATTTTTTGAATTCGAACCAGTAACTTGCCATTAGCGCGTATAAACACTCTTCAGCTTTATAATATTAGTATAGATATATTTTTTTATACCTTGGTGAGATCCATGCCGATTTTGACTTGTGAAAGGAGATGCGTGACCACTGAGCCATGGTTCTCCATTGAGCCGAGGTCGCTGTCCGAGTCATCTTCGTACAGAGCTGGAAAATGCAAGCAGAACGATAAGAATATATTTTCATACAATTGAACTATGATTAGCAAGAGAATTTTAAAAACAATTTATATTTAAATAAAACACTTTAACGGTTTAAAACGCGATATATTGGTAAACTTATTTGCAAATGATCCTTAACTTTAACGGCCCGACGTTTCGGAGCTTTGCAGAAGCCGTGTTCAAGGGGACTCTGATCAGTTTAACTAATATATCGCGTTTTAAACCGTTAAAGTGTTTGTATTTAAATGTGTAATACTCGCGTAAACTATAGACAGTATTCTATCGACAGTTTTCTATAGACAGTAACAACTATTTCTATAAGACATTCAGTTTAGACCGTAGTTTAGTGGTCTAATGGTAGCAATACATGACTAATAAACAAAACGTCGAGGGTTTAATCTCCATCGGGTCCAACATTTTTAAAATCAATTTATAATTTTTCTAAAACATATTGGACTTCGTTTAGAAATCTGGACGTAAAGTGAGTGGTAGGAATATCGAAATTCCGCCTGTGTTGTGAGACCAGACGAAGACCAGAGGTCTACGAAGGAAAAAACGGTCAACTTTAATTGCATGGCATCAAGGGAACCCCATATTTGTCTGTCTTTCTCCATCATCAAAAAATCTGTGTTTTTTTCCAGTTAGATATACAATCTTGAAACAATAGGGCAAATGAGTACGAGTACGTACGAGTTCTTTGTATGAATGTTACGATAAGAGAACTTTAAACAATTTCCGAATCGTCCGCTTTAAAGCAATCAAGACTCAATATTATTTATAACAAACTGTAAATCTTTGTTAAAATTAAAATTAACCATTGCCCAACTAAACACGTACAAAGAAACAATGTAACAGCTGACTCAGCGCTCGTGTCCACTCAAACGAATCCTGTCACGTACTCCACTTCTGAAAATGCGCGTGAGTCACGAGTTTGACATTTAAACACTAGCTAATAAAGCTATCTTCAATAAAGAGTGCTTTATTACGAATTACAATTATTAAATAATTATATAAGGACAAAGACACAATAATCTATATCAAAAGGCAGAACAGTCTAAGCGAATATACACACAGCACAAAATTGTAAGAGCAAAAAAAAAATATATTAAGAAGTTTTCTAAGATGAGATGTAAGGGAAGGTTTGAATCAGAGCAGTCTAACTACAAAGATGGTGTTGAACTACATACTAATATATAATATAATATATATTATTATAGTTTAAAAATCGATTTTAGATAAAAAAAATATCTACACGGGCGAGATTTGAACAGGCATCCACAGCGTTCTGAGCTGTTGCAATTTGTTGAGGACTGTCTAATATTATATATCCAAGACTCGAATCCATAACGTTTTAAACGTTTCTATATTGTAATTACAATAAGATATTCCGTATCTTGGTATTATTTTTAATTGCGCGGGAGGTGTATGTATCAATAAGTTGATAAAAAATTCGACGAAGACGTGTGGGACACAGTAGCTCAATTGGTACGGCAACAGCATGGAACTGATGAAAGGCACCTAAATAAAAATAAATAGTTTGAAAAAATTCGAAGTGTGGGACTCGATAGTCAATTGTTAGAGCACGAGGCGGAACGCAGACGATACCGGTTCAAGTCCTATCCGAGTCGTACATTTTTTCACCTTAAACTCGATTTTTAATTTATCTTTGTGTTCTTTTATCACAAGATGAAGAATGCATAAACCAGTACACCAAATGTTGCTAGAAGCTAGTAGTAGGTAAATTAGGCTACGAATCGAAAATAAATTGAAAAAAATGTTCGACTCGAGCAAGACTTGAACCGGCATCGTCAGCGTTCCGTGCTGTTGCTCTAACCAATTGAGCTACCGAGTCCCACACGTCGAATTTTTTCAACCTATTTATACATGTACCTCTCGCGCAATGTAATTTCAAACTTAGCACTTGCGTATTATTAGGCTTTAAAATGCTTAAGCAGTTCAACGATGTATAAGTCTAGAAGAACAGAAGATGATCCAGAAGATGCAAAAATTGGCGAACGCCTATAACATGCAATATGGTCACACTAACACGACAAGGAGAGTGATGTGTGGGTAGAATTACCATCGTAGTCGATTTCACCGTCTCTGGTGCGCGGAAGGTCGACAGAGGGCGCTGCCTCCGGTTCGGAAACTCCTTCTGTCACGCAGGTCCGACTGGCGCTGGAAAGAGAAAGAATATGTGAATAACCAAAATTATATCTCGCTTTACAAATTAGAAAAAAAAGTTACGACACGGTCAAGTCTTGAACGAGCGTCAACAGTTGTGTTAACCAATTGATCGACTGTGTGGTTGTCCTACACGTCATCGTTGATTTTGCTTCATGCGCAATTCGATATAAACGACTGATCGACGACAACTGAAGTTCAATAACTGTTTAATAGCTAAGTTCTAAGCCAAGAACTTTATCTTTTAAGTGTTTTTATTTTATGTATTTCAGCCTTATAATCGACCCGCTGCGCCTGCGACTTCGTCCGTGTAATTTTTTTTTTTGCAAAACTCATCTTTATACATTATAGCTGTTACCCACGACGCTAATGTCAAAGTCAGCCGTGACGATGCTCAATAGGGAACTAGGCGAGATCGCTTGGATGCGGTAGGGTTGTGCATTTTAAGCCATATAACATCTAAACAAGATGCACTATCGCCCTATTATGGCTTTGGACATTCGGATATCCAGACTGAAACCAAAACGTGATTAAACTACAAGGCTTCGTCAGAAAAATTATAAATTGATTAGATAGAATTTTGGACCCGGGGGGAATTCAATCCACGACCCGTTACATACATTGCTATCTTTGAAAGTTTGACAAACGGGCTATCAAAGTTTTATCACGGATTTTGAAGCAGAAGTGAGCAATTGTGAACTTATAAATAAGAATAACACACATAATATTCTCTAAACTAAAGACGGTGCAAATAGCATTTCTTGTTATTCCATTATAATAAATAATCCGTTTATCGTGATCCTTGCATAATCTCCTTAGCGATTATGCCGTTATGCAAATGTCGTCGGTTGCTAACTCATTTACGCGTTCTGTGTAGACGGTAAATAATAATGATTGTGAAGAAAGTGTTATAAACAAGAAATACTGAGCTTCGTTGGGCTGTTCAGCCGACGTGAGCGTGAAGAGGTTCTCGACGTTTCGCCATCACTAGCGGACGGCATCATCCGGATGATATTAGCTCCTCGATTTCTCAAAGAATTAGTAATTCTTCAGCCCGAAAAACAATGACATGCTGAACGATGGCCGTGAAAGATAGTTGAAAATAAATTCACAAACGATTTTGAAACCGTTAAAAGTGTTTTAAAATATATTGACAAGCTTAGGAAGCTGGAATTGTCTTGTTTATGCAGATTCAAAACCTTCTCTAGTTTCACACAACCTTGAACAACTTCAAATAACATCACATTCGCACACTATTTAACATTAATTAACAGAGACTAAGAGAACAACATCGGCCTGGAGTAGTATAACTTTTATATAAACTGACTTTTTAGTATTATGGTGGCAAATGGCAATGCATGGCTAATAATCAACGGGTCCTGGCTTCGATCCCCACCGGGCTAAAATGTTTCTAATCAATTTATAATTTTTCTAAAACATGTTGGATTACGTCTGGAGACCTGGATATTAAGTGGGTGGTGGGAATATCGAAATCCATTCGGATCACGCACAACTGTCGAGATATGAAATAGCCTTGAGCCATCGCGTTTCGCGCACAGTCTCTTGATTTCCGAATATTCAAGGCAAGACAGGTCGTCATCTTGAGAGACAAAAATCTTAATTGTTAACTACGCTGAAACAGATGGCGCTAGTGTTGCAATTTTTACTTTGACATAAGGGACAACCCCCGTGGCCACAGCTGCTGCAAATTATACAAAACGTCAGGCCCTGGTTAAAATAATTTTCAAATAAAGTTAATTCACCTAATTATATTGCATTTTAAACCGTTATAACGTTTTATTTAAATAGGCAAACTAAATTTAGCTTCTGTAATATTAAGATATGTTAATTCTTAGTCGCTACTACGTGGTTGAGCTGAAATTGCTGGCGTTCCGAGCCAAAGCTGAATAATGCAAATAATTAGAGCGCTTGAACAGTTACTTGTGGACTGGTGGAAATTTTCTAACTTGAGCGTCGGGTCGTAGGTAAGATTAAGAAACTTATATATTTCGCGCAATTTCGATATCTAGAATTACCTGACGAAGTCCGATCCGACGAATATGTTTCAGTTAAATTATATGAAAAACACGTTGGGCTTGGTGGGGACCGAACTCCCGACTCGTTGATTATCAGCCATACATTGCTACCATAGGACCAACGACCCCATCAAAAAAAATATTGCTTTCTGCGTAGCCTGCAAAACAGCTGGTCGTAGTTAAAAAAAAGTTATACATTTAAATAAAACACTTTAACGGTTTATAACGCGAAATATATTCATTACACTTAATTGGAAAATATTGTCCTATTTAATTTAATTAATTAAAATAATGTTCAAATATATTTCTCGTTTTAAACCGTTAAAATTGTACTAATCGCGTATACCGCAGACAATAAATCAATCGATTGCTTTCGATATCGAAGCGGTCACGAACGAGGTTAGGGCGATAACAATCTGAAGGTCAGTTGCGGTGAAGGGCGATTTTGTTGTGAGACCATCACTCGGGGTACTTCAGTTTTTCCAACTTATGAAGTTCGTGGGATTTAGTTGCATAGCGCAGCTGTTTTATATACGACGGGACGATTGACTAATGGTAGCTATGTATGGCTAAAATCAGGTTGGTTGGCAACGACCGTTGATTTTAGGGGTTCCAACCCCACCGGGTCTAACATTTTTCTAATCAACGTATAATTTTTGTGAAACAAGTTGGACTTCGTCCGGACATTAAATTCGTCACGAACCACCGACCACCGATGAAAAAGCCATCAAGTTTAATCCCATTCTGGTCTTAGTCCACGGAACTATCGAAAGTCAATATAGGCCGACAACGTATCTCGTTGAGGTATCATGTGGCTGCGGTATTTCACCAATCTTCAAGTTCGATGTTTGTCCTTCTATCTTAAAACATCGCCATACAAAAACCCAAGAAGATGCCATTTTGGAATGTCTATAGTCAAGTTTTACTAGTCAGCCATACGCGCGAAGGTTTGCGCTATCGAAGCACGGAAGCACGGAAGAATTCCAAATGTCAAAGCCAGCACAGCGTGTTTAGAGGCGGAGTAGCCAAACTGCTTTTATGACTTGAGTTATTTATATTTTCCGTCTAAAAATGTACAAGAGCACAGTGACCGAAAAATTTTCGCCTAAGTTGCGCACTTTTCCCCTCCCTATTGAAAATCATGTATTTGTTATTAGACCACTCTGCCTCTAGCGGCCTCATAGGGCTGGAGTATTTCAGTTCCCATCAAGTGAATTGCCGGTTTGTTTGTCCCCTGTCTAATAAGCGAACGGACACAAAAATGTGTACGCCCGTGACCCACATAAGATAAGCCACACTCACACAAACATAAATCGCAACGGGAAGACGCCGCTTACTACTGTAAGTACGTATAAACACCGGTGCTCTTGCCAAATGGGCTCTAGTAATTTCTCTGTGACGTCATCGTTTGTGCGGCTTAATCTTTATCACTCGATACATCACCTCGTAACTATGCACGGAAAATTGATGCCGCTGGCTTTGATAATTTTCGTATCAGTAATTCTAATAGCCAAAGAAAATTTAAACATGTTTCATTTACTGTCTGTAGGTTACGCGAGTAGCGCACATTTCAGTAAAACACTTTTAACGGATTTGAATCGCGAAATGTATCTCTTGAGTTAATTTATTTTAACGATCACGGGGGAAAGGAAATTCAATAATAAAATATGTTATTTGATATTTGAAACTTCGCGATTTTAAGTGTTTCATTGAATTGTTTCATATACACCACGTACGCTTATATTTTTGACGGTTTAAAACGTGAAATGCATTAACTAACTTATAACCTAACTCAACAACGCCACAGCCGCGGTCACTGCAAATAAGTTGACTAATATATTTCACGTTTTAAACCGTTAAAAGTGGTTTATTTAAATATACGTATAAGAAGACACTCGGAACTAACGTATCGCCAGAACCAGGATTCAAATACTGGAACTACACTAACTCTTAGACTTGGTTGGCTAAAATACTCTATCACCAATGAATCTTACCTCTCACTCTCTCTTCTCAACGACCACCGCCTCGAAGTGAACGCTCGTATCATCCTGGCAACTACATGCTACGGATACCACTTTGCACTTCGCATTTAGTCAAGTTCACTGACACAGTTTAATATTAGACATCGCGTGTGTTAACTCGTCTATTTCGGTGCGTTTCAATTCAATTATCAATGGTTAGCGCCAGAGTGGCCTATTAACAAAAAAAAAGGCCTTTCAATGAGTAGAAAAAAAAATGCTTAAAATTTTCGGTCACTGTGCTTTTGTAGACTTAACATTATTGGATTGTAATAATATCTATACTCATTGATAAAGCTGAAGGGTTGTTTGTTTGAACGCGCTAATCTCAGAAACTACTGGGACGAATTGAAATTTCTTTGGGTTAGAACGTTTATCGGGGAAGGTTATAAGGCTATAAAACATTGCGCTGTGACTAATAGGAGCGAAGACATAGCGGGAAATGTGGAAAAAACGGGGGAAATTATTCATCTCTGTGGGTTTCCGATGCGTAGGCTGCTGGATGGATTAAGACACCCAAAAGTATGTATGAAAGAATGGTTTCTCTTTAAGTGATGTAAAAAATATTTTAATATTTAAACTTTTTAGGGTTAATTTGCAATAACGACGGGACGCGACCGATGTCGGTAACAGCCTTAATTAAAAAAAAAACGTATAGGAGGTTTGCAAAAACAAATTTGGGTGCCAAAAATAACTATTCTACGTGGACAAAGTTGCTGACACAGCTAGTATGTAGTATGAAGTACTTGACGACTGTGAATTAAAATTGGCGGTAGAAGGAGCGGCGGCGAGTTTCTCGCCAGTTCTTCTCGTTCGTTCCAATTCTAAAAGCAAGGGCGTATGCTCTTAGAATTGGTAGTGAATGTATTTTTCATATATATAGATTTCACATAGATAAGCGTACCTAGCTATCTATGTGAATTTTTAACTATGAGTAGCA